GATTATTGTGGGAACAATTACTGGTTGAATAACAGCGGTATTATTTGTTTAAGTAATAATGTACATTTGTAATTATAGTGAAATTTAGAATCATTATTTCCACAAACACCTTGTTCTGATTTCAAAGGGGCGATAGTGTCTAAACTACCCAGACAGTTATTCTTCAACCAAACCTTAGTTAGGATCTCACGGGGTTATAGTAAGATGTGCACAGTGGTTTGGCTTGTAATCAGGTACTCTTCATAGTCTTGCGTCCTAGCTCCATCTTGTACAGCTATACGCTGACCAGTTCAACAACCCCCATCCTACAGTACCACGAACCCGGAAAACCCTTAGTTTTTGTACCCCCTTTTACCATAATTACTCAACGTTCCGTCAACAAATATTACCGTGCTCCCGCTTAGCGATTAAGATTTGATCACACCAGTATAAATTGAAGCAATTAGCTTCTGTAACCAACAGCCATTCACTTTATTCATGAACCAAATAACACTGAAGCAATACTTAAATGACAGTTAATTAAATGGACAATAGTCGAGCAGCTTCCTGCATCTTTTTGGCTCTCCAGTAGGGATCGTCGAACACAGGCTGCTGGCGACGCTACCCGAAGTAACCAGATGACTCAAAAACACATTTGGTATTCAGTAGAGAAAGATATCATAATATATATACAGTTTAATGCACAATGACTCGTTGCCTCATGCATCGCCATGCTTGACCGAGCATCAAACGGTTCTGAACCACATTGCGCTCTTTAATGACCTGATATTGCCCTATCGCTTAAGAATTTCACCTATGTCTTTACCAAAGCAAGTCACTATAGTATCTCCAAGGGCACAATGTACCTTAACTAAAACTAATAATGACCCGATTATACAAGGATTATAGAAAGTTAATTTCCTGATACAAAAACGCTGGCACGATAGTAATTACGACTGTCTGAACAACAATAGGTGTCTTCGTACTTTCGTTGGACACTCATGATGACTCTGAATTCAAAGCACGAACTGCAGATCCCACAAGATGCAACCACGAACGAGGTCACAACACAGTGACACTGGCTCCAGAAAACAGAATGTTGACACGACCAAACAAGATAAATGGCTCAATACCTCATCCCCCTTGACGTAACTCGATGCTTCTGGCTCAGCTATAGTTTCCTAGCAAGTATTGTTCGGAAAAACTTTTATACCTTCTTACCCACATGTTTCTTGATGTTATGTTTTAGACCATCAACTTTGATGAGCTATGTCGAATGATTGGAGGCCTACTCAGGTTAGACGGGAACGGTGTGACGAACTGTATAACACAAAGGGCGTGAGTAAGTAAATATATTAGTAAGAATGAACACAGAAATGTTAGTGAGACCACCATGGCATGGGCCAGTCCATGACGTGTGATTAACTAATGCGCGTTTGTTGCCCTTGAATTTAACAGGGACCGTTCATATGTTCTATATTTATGGACCGAAGTGCCGGAGGATTTGTCCATGGCTCAGTGACATTTCACTGCCCCTACAATTTAAAACTCATTCGCAGATACCGCTAGTTAATCCGTCGTTTGTTCCACGCAACATCCGTTGTAAGATTCAGGGATATAAATGTAAAGGTCCCCTGAAGGCACGACTACTATGGTATTAAGCTAGCATCCAAATACACTGCCTACATCGTGTACTTCAAATACGAAATGCCCATCTCCAGTTAGGCCGCTCATGGTCCCTGAAATTTAAAAGCCTCATTTCCAGTTCCAAACTATTTTGTATTTCGCTCTTTAACACACAGACTACTTTTTGGCTAAACACGAATCAGACAAAATTTGAAGGTTGCACTGGACTTTTACCTGTGTGGTGGACCTCAGCGAAAGAGCTTAGTTAAAATATAACAATATGCAAAGTTACCAACAATATACCAAAAGAATTAACACTGCGAACCTAAGCGTGTCTATGATTAACGCAAAAGGTAACAGATTACAGTTAAATTATAAAAAGGTATATTGAGCAACAAAATGGTAACAGTGTTATGAAATAAATGTTACTTGTAAGCTGCTTTCTGAGATAACAACCACAAATAAGTTCACTTGGTTAACAAAGGTTCCTCTGCACGTTATGGCACCAACAGCAAAATGAAGAAGATTAGATCCAGTAGTATTATTCAGTAATGATCCGGGCCAAATCTCCAACATAGTGTGGAACGGCCTAAAAGGATGTTATAATACTATTATAATCTTCAACCAAAGGCCGTGGCCGTTAAAGCAGAAGAATAGACGGCGGATACAACGTTTATATTTTTTTAAGAATCGCGGTAGTGAAGAAGTGTTATATATAACCAAACAAAAGTATTCGTTTCTTTACCATTGATACAGAAAAACAATAGATATCGAATATAAGTGTGGTTACATAAAAAGTGTGACAAATGGGAAAAATATGTGATCTTTAATTTGTTGTTACAAAAATCACTAGATATAAATGTCACTATACTTGTCTCTTTATCACCCTTTTCCTGAACTTCTTCCTATGAGGCGGTTTTAATTCTCCTTTCACAAATATGGCGCATTTGTTTTGTTTATCCATTTGACACCAATAATTGTTTTTATACTTCTGGTTAAATTTGTATTAGGGATATATCGCTATTTTGATACAGAAAAATGGTAAAAGTATGAAATGATGACGGACTTAAAATAACCAACCAGAATTACTCAAGTATTTCGCGCAAAAATTGAAGTGCAGTGATAGGTAATTATTCCTTAAAATGCTCATAATGAATACAATTTCGGCTAAGCAGCAAAAGTGTAATTTCAAGATAATGCTTGAGCAAAATAACAAATCATACATGTTTTCGAGATAGATTATATGTTAAAGTGCCTGGTGAGGTTCGATGCATAATCGAGCGTTTGCCGAGGCTAGTCAGTGTGTTCCCTTTCCAAATCTTTCACTAAATTTTAAGCTCAAGTTTTTTAAGCACATATGCAGAAAGCCTATAATTGGTGTCATTTTGTGATGAGAACCCCAACCCTAATTTATAAACCAAACTTAGGATTCATGAGTCAATATTAATATCCAACTCTAACATTTTTATATTATAACCGAGGTCATGCGGTGGAATCGATGACTTGCCATTTCAAATCTTATTGGCTCGCCCATAAATCATAGTCTCGCCGCACTGTAATATTTGATGTTTTCCTATTTTATACCTTTAAGTTCTTTAAAAATAAATGGGAATGCATCGATACATAGGTCCTTAGTCTTGTGAACATATTCTCAGAAACTTCCCACAGCTTGGTAGTTTGGGTTGTTGAGTCGACAAAATATGAGTCACTTGTTAAAGGCGTAGTCTAACCCTCTACAGACTTCATATTGTACATCATTCAACCGTTGATGTGCTGATGCTGTAGGACGAAAATTATGGTGTGATGATCACGTACTTATTATGTACTTATCAAACGCCCTGGTACGGTCGAGGGTGGGGACAATTCGCTTCCTCTCGGGACGCTCTCACATCGCCACGCGTATACAATACAGCCACTGCCAGAGGAGTCCTACTCACAGCCTTCTCCCAGTAGAGATATTGTTTACGAAATTGAGAGGATGAAAAGCTAATATCCGGCACCCGAACGGGGTTGGTGGGTGTGAACCTTGGTGTGATGATAACCATATCAACTTGGTTTTTCCTTCAAAAACTCACTGACGTTCTTGCAGAAATAATACTTGATGGGCCCCTGCTACTTGTCCATTCATGTTATATTGCGGATTGTTCCTTTTAAATAACTGTTTATGTATACTGATACCCCGCACCCGTCTGGTTTTCCATACCACATTTGAAGAGTGTCATGGCTCAAATGCCCATTTTTTCGTCTGTGTCATCGAGGCCAGAACTAGGTTTAAGTATGAGTAATAATCCTTAATTGAGACTGGATACGTTCCTTGGCTCTCTTTAAACCACTGTCAAATCATTTAGCTGTCCGTCACAACAAGAGGTGTTGTTTTATTCTAGAATCATTCTGAAATGCTGCAAATCGTGGATAGCTTAGGTGAAGGTGTTTATCAGCTCTGTTGAAAGTAGTCCAAGCAAGTTTGTTACATGGGCGAAAAGTTCGCTCAGTTTTGGTTTATTCACAACGCTGATCGAGAGTAACTAAGTCTGATGTATGTTTCGTCAGTTTTTAGATGTTCTGCTTACTGATCTAGGTCGAGTTTAACAACACCTAACGTGTCTATGCAGGTCACTTTGTCAATTATGACAACTTCGGTAAGGTCCTATTGATTGCTGAAGTTTAAGGTCGGCAAGCGCGAGTACTCAATGGTTGTTAGTGATGATGGACAGCGAAGTTGAGATACACTAATCACCGTTGTGGATAACATGACTTTATTACCATTACAACCTAGTAAGGTACTTATTATTTCACACCCCTTCCCTTTTGAAAAGACACTCAAAGTACAACATTGTAAATCCATGTATGCTAACTCCAATGAACTCAGCTGAAAAATTTATTGACATGATGGAATCGCTTAAATTTTTACCCGATTTTGTGGAATAAGATGGGAGATTATATAAGGATTATGTATCTCAAATGAGGACTCTGATGATCATATGTTCTGTCACCTTCGTTCCTGGACAAACTGATATTCTTCAAGGTCATGACAAGACAGTTGGGAATCTGCGTTAGGGTTTTGATTTTTCCATAGGTTGGCCTTTGTCTGCGATCTCCTGCTTGAGCAAGTGATAAAAGTATTTGCACCAACTGATTTTAAGCAGAAACGTAATGTTTGCGGGAATACTTGGCACTGGGACAAAAGCAGATTAACTGCCGTACAATGCCTGTTTTGAAAAACCAAAGCTTATTCAAGAGACAAATTTCACTCATTGGGTTTGCAAACAAAAATTACTTTCATCTCAAGGCTCGGTATGGATTCAGTTTCACTGAGTGATAAGAGGAAAATATACTTACATAAATCAAGCCTTGTTTTGCTGAGCCTTTCGAATTGCGGGAAGGTTGTATTCGTTATGAACTCACCTGGTTGGTTGGTGAATACTGTATTGTGTACTTTATAGGAGACTGATTCTGTTTCTACGTATAATACAACACAGCAGAAAGTGAGTTGAATCCTCTTGTTTGAGCTGCTGTCGTTTTTCCACATGGCTAATCCGTTAAGGAGAAAAAACCTTTTTGTTTGTATCAGCAAATAAATTATTTTCGAAACAGGCATAGGTTCTGGTTTTATTTTCCTTAAGCTTCAGTTTTGGCTGTTTTAGCAACAGTAGTGTACTACAAATCACCCAGGTTTGAAATTATCAATGAAGAGTGGGTTGTTTTATCATAGCTCAACTACCAATCAACCATCCACTACAAGTGAGTTCAGTTTCGAGGTTAGAGTTGGAATATATCTCTGGTTTTGACTAGGTTCATTTAAAAGCGAAATAAAAATCGGCAATGAATAAGTCAACATTATTTGAACTAAATACTGACTGATCAATCTTAATAAAGTCATAATATTTTCTATACCTTATGTGTTCATTCACGTTTGAATAAGGTTGTTGGAATTACGACTAGCTAACAAGACAAAATCCAGCTAAAAAACAAAACACTTTGCATATTTTATAAAAAAGTGTGATCGTTTATATGATGACGCTTATTGAATATAGCTTCTAATCAACCACCTGGGCATACACAGGGTAGTAAGGCTTGCTAAATAGTATTCAAGTTAAATATAGACTCCTGGATGGTCATAAAAGGCTAATTTATAGTGTTTTAAGTACCTAACTTACCCACAAACTTGAATTTCGGCTACATTCACTTTCCTTGATGCTATAGATCTAATATTTATTCTCACCTGTCACATTGTAAATCATCCACATCCCAGATTTTACTATTACATGAACATAAAGTTATTCGATGGATTGCAGCACCAATCTTCATGGAATCGAACCCAGGTAAAGCGTTTTCGACGGATGAGTTTTGTAGATAGCTAACATGACAGTTCTGTAATAAAAAGCGATTTTGATGTCACAATGATCGAGCGTTGTAGTTGACTGTATGCCATTCTGTTTCTGTTGATTCTCGGTTCATATTTCTCGTATTCGCAAAGCAGCTACAAACAGTACTGTTTATCAGTGAATTTAAACGGGGCAGTAAGGTAGACAGTTTTATAAATACGACGAAAATGAATGCTGATGGAAAAATTGCCTCAGGTGTGCTTTCATGGTGGTGTTTGTTTACCAGTTTAGAATTAATATCAGATAGGTGAAAATGTTTCAAAATTCTCAGGGGTTTCAAACTTAATTTCGATGTAGCTTATCGCGCAACCAAGTTGTACATCAAAATAGCTTGTAATGGAGTAAATTTGTTCACTTTTCGCTGTGAAGATATTTTTTAATACTCATTCCTTCAGTGTATCTGTGATTCAGTAGTGTAGGTATTAAATTTTGCAGTGTTTGAGTTAGCCCCTAAATGTCGAAATCAAGGCAAGAGGGTTTGTCGATTCCATAGGCCTCCTGGTTTACATCTCTCACGTGCTGTGGAACAACCGAATGAGCAACTCTCAGTCAGTCAGCTAGAAAATAGGACCAGGCACATATATGCATCGATCCAAGTTGTCAATGCTAGTGAGTAATATATTGTCCAGGTAATATACTAGTGAAGGACAGTTGGTTGTTTAATGAGGCTGCAAATATTTATCAGCTGATGTCTGAGAAAATGTATTGCATGCAACCAACTACCGCTTCCCTTGACATGAAACCCTGGCTGGAGTCGGTGTATGTTAGGAGGCTATTGATAATCAAACTAAGTTGTGGGTTTGGTCCGTGAATTCACTGGTTGTTGGAATGGACCATGTTGCCAAATCCAGCTCACCTGATCGGGCTTCGCGCAACGAGTGGTTGGAGACGTAATTTAACACGGCTTAGAACTTGTTAGGTGCATTCTTCATCTTCCCCTTAGTCTTCGATATTTATATTTCTTATTCCACGAATTCATCCATTTTTGGAATGTGATACCTAACTTTTGGTCTATTTCATCATCAGTAGTAATAATATTAGTCCGAATCCTTTGGTATTCATCGTATTACGTTTGCAGATGTCAGTCGTGTTCGGTGAAAACGATAAAATGCAGTCTTCTGATCGCCTTAATCAGTAACCAGGGTCTGTTTGGGATGTTGTTCTCTTCTAAGTACAAAATGTTGCTTCAGGACTGGTCTGTGTAAATGCCTCAACTAGTGATAGGGGGTGAAATAGTCAAACTTATTGGTCGCTTCACTTATTTTAAAAGTCTCATTAGCTCCGATAGGTTGGTGCCTGATGAAATCTTAGCACCGGATTGGTGGACACGGAGGGTCCACCTAGGGGAGTTGGAAAACCCTGATTCCAAACCAATGGTGCACATGGGCTCCAGTATCCTGATGGAACGAATGGCGGAAGAACCTGTCATTGGTCAACGGCTACCATGGGACTGCATCTCCTCACGATGCTCCACTGCCTTGTGGATCAGACCTTTAGGTCAAAGGCTCGGGGTGTGGTCCCCTAAGAAAATCACCTGCTTCGGTTTGGGCACCCGGGCAGTATCACAGCCCACACACAAATGAATGAAATTATGAACTCTATTGACGATAATATCCCTGCTCATACTAAAAGCAAGACAATTAACATTATTATTATTATTATTACCTTTATTATTATTATTATTATTATTATTATTATTATTATTATTATTATTATTATTATTATTATTATTATTATTATTATTATTTACCATATCGCTAACTCACCCCCTTTTATCCCCAATTTGTGTAACCTTACTTTTCACCTTATGCAGCAGCTCGCCCATGGTGGAAAATCTGTCCTATCTAAACGATCTCCAGTCACTGTCTGGTTGAAAGTGAATGCTTCCACCGATAATGAATACTGAAGCAGTCTTTCTGAAACCACGTACGCCGTTCAAGCTGGCTTCCTTCAACGTTCGCACACTAATGCATATCAGACAACAGATAGGGCTGGCTATGTCTTTGGAAGGTCTTAATGTTGATGTTTGTTGTCTATCCGAGACCCGTATTCAAGACTCTAGTGAAGTACTACAAATCCGCTCTCCATCTGTCGCCTCGAAGAGCTTGTTCCACGTGCGCTTATCCGGGGACCCTGTGGCATCTTCGTCTGGTCTTGCTGGCGTTGGTGTCGCACTAAGCGCTAGAGCTGAGGCAGCACTAATCGATTGGATCCCCATTAACAGTCGGTTATGTGCTGTTAGATTAGAAAGTTCCATCAAAGTGAGAAGAAATCGGCGTGAGAAACGGTGTCTTTTCGTCATCTCCGCCTATGCCCCGACAGATTGCAGCCCGGATGCAATCAAGGATGAGTTTTACCATCAGTTAACAGTTCTTCTCCAGAAAGCGCGTTCGACAGATATTGTAGTACTAGCCGGAGACTTGAATGCACAGGTCGGGCGTCTAGGCACAGAAGAGAGTCGTCTAGGTGGCCGATGGGGACTTGTTGGTCGCAGGACAGATAACGGGGACCGTTTGCTGCAACTGTGCACAGACCACAACCTGTTTCTGGCCAGCACTAACTTCCGGCACAGTCATCGCCGGTGTGCCACCTGGCGTCCTCCCTCTGCATCCCAAGCCTGGACTCAGATTGATCACATCGCGATCAGCTACCGCTGGCGTGGTTGTGTACAAGACTGCCGCTCCTTTTGGAGTACCTATCTGGAGTCTGATCATGCCCTGGTCTGCGCCAATCTCACCTTACTTTTTAGTGGCCGAAGGATTGACCACCACCAACGGATTGATGTTAGTAAACTGGCTGCAACTTCTGTTGCAAGTAAGTATCGAGCGGAGCTAGCTTCTAGGCTAGCTACCACCCCACCGAAAAGTATAGATCAGCATTGGTTGCATCTTCACGACGCCATGAAAATGGCGAGTAAAGCCGCTTGCGGCTTCGCGAAACGTCCCGCTTACAAGCACTGGGTTTCTTCTGGCTCCTTACAACTGATGGAAGCCCGTCGGTCTACTCCGGGTGACCGTGAGTTTGACCACAAACGAAGGCTGTTACGTAATGAAATCGGGCAAAGCTTACGTAAGGACCGGGAAGCCTGGTGGTCGGAGCGTGCTAATGAGATGGAAGCAGCAGCTGCATCTGGTAACTGCCGGAAGCTCTTCCAACTCATCCGAGCCACTGGCAGCAAGAAGTCTGGTGTGAGTGAAACAATCTATGAGGATGACGGGATGCCAATCACTAACATCTGTCGACGTCTTGGACGATGGGCGGAATTTTTCGAAGGGCAGTTCAACTGGCCTGCTGCTCCGGCAACATCAACCAGCTTGTCCTGCCCCCCATGGCCGGTGACGACTGATCCACCAAACGAGGCGGAAGTCCTCAAGGAACTCCAACTCTTGAAACGTTATAAATCACCTGGCCCAGATGACTTACCTCCGGCTCTTTTTAAAGATGGTGGTGACTTTCTGGCTAAGGAACTGACTGCGTTGTTTGGAAAGGTTTGGGAGCAAGAAAGTGTTCCAACATCATGGAATGAGTCGATAGTCGTCCCTATCTTTAAAAAGGGTTCACGTTGTTGCTGCAATAACTATCGGGGGATAAGTCTACTTTCGATTGCGTCCAAACTATTGGCTTCTATCATTCTTCGTAGGTTGTTTAAAACCCGAGAACGATTGACTCGCGAGGAGCAGGCTGGTTTTCGTTCTGGTCGAGGATGCATTGATCACATCTTCACCCTCCGCCAAATGTTAGAACACCGTCATACTTATCGCAGGTCAACAATCGTAGTGTTTCTTGATATCAGGGCGGCCTTCGATTCGTTGGACAGGACTGTTCTCTGGGATTGTCTATTGAAGAAGGGTGTGCCTGGGAAGTTCATTAACATCTTAAAGGCCCTGTATACGAACACCTCAGGCAGAGTGAGGGCATACAACCACCTTTCTCCCTTGTTCCATTCGAGCAGTGGGGTTAGACAGGGTTGCCCGATCTCACCATTCCTCTTCAACTTTGCCATCGACGACATCCTGGAAACAGCTCTGATGGATGTAAGTAATGGCGGTGTGGATATGTTGCCTGGAGAACGACTTCTCGACCTTCAGTATGCGGATGATATTGTCTTACTGTGCGATAATGCCCAAGGCATGCAATGCGCACTTAATCAGTTGGCAATCAGTGTCCTCAGGTACGGCATGTGCTTTGCACCCTCCAAGTGCAAAGTACTCCTACAAGACTGGCAGGATTCTCATCCTGTACTCACCCTGGATGGTGAGGAGATCGAAGTAGTTGAGAAGTTCGTGTATCTAGGTAGCTATATAAGTGCTGGTGGTGGCGTGAGTGATAAGATTGATGCACGTATAAGGAAAGCCAGAGCGGCTTATGCCAATCTGGGCCATCTTTGGCGCCTTCGTGATGTTAGTCTGGCTGTAAAAGGTCGGATCTACAACGCGTCGGTGAGAGCAGTTTTGCTCTATGCTTGTGAAACCTGGCCTCTCCGAGTTGAGGATGTTAGACGACTCTCTGTGTTCGATCATCGTTGTCTCCGAAGGATTGCTGACATCCAGTGGCAACACCATGTTAGTAATGCAGAGGTTCGGCATCGTGTGTTCGGGCGCAGAGACGATAATTCAATTGGTGTCACCATCTTGAAACACCGACTTCGGTGGCTTGGACATGTTTTACGAATGTCGTCCCAGAGACTTCCACGTCGTGCATTATTTGCCGACCCTGGGACTGGTTGGAAAAGGCGGAGAGGAGGTCAGTGTATGACAAGGTGTCGTGGCATGAAAGAGAGCTGCAAAGGGCTAGCTTCTGTTGGTCCTTCACGACTCCCTGGTTGGGGTCCGAGAGATAGTGCAACACAGTGGCTAGAGACGTTATCAGATATGGCTCAGAATAGAAGCCAGTGGCGATCCTGCTGCAACCTTCTTTTACTTTCTACATAAAGAATGGTTCTAACTTTCCTAACTGAAAGAGTCTTCTGGTTGTACATTTCAGCCCGCCTTATCTTTTCATCCCTTCTCTTCCTACTTTCATTATTTTGTGTGGCGCATATGTACCTGGTGCCCTTTTGTACCAATATATATGTGTTTAAATAAATAAATAATAAATTAGGGAATGATGGTAAATCATTTGATGAGGTTGTAAATCTACATCGACTAAGGTGGTTGGGCCACGTGTTACGTATGCCTGAACACGGATTACCACGACGCACAATACTGACTAGTGCTGGAGACGGTTGGAAGAAAGTTAGAGACTGTCAAATCAAAACGTGGCATCAGTCCTTGAAGTCACTAACTTCTGATGTGGGCCGTGTTGGTATATGCAGAATAGTTGGTTGGGGTCTGCGAGTGTCGTAACCAATGGTTGGAGACTCTAGGTGACATGGCTCAGAATCGATCACAATGGCTTAGGTGTATACACTCTTTATCTTCCCTTAAACCTTGAGATTAAAATTGCTTCATATGTGTTTTTCTTCCTGTACTATATCCTTATATACAACCTTTCTTTTATATATTACTACCACTAAATTAACTACTATGAATTCGGCGTTCATCTTGTTGTGCTGACGAGGTATGGCAATTTGGACCAATGCATATGTGTGCCTGGTCTTACGTTGTAGCTGACTGACTGACTGGTTTTTAGAAGGGACATCAGCCTCGTGACTTCCGAAGATTCTTGGCTTTTACCATGAGGCATTATAATTCTTCCAAATGAAGATCCTTCAACTACCAGGGCAGAGCCCAAATGATAAAATGATTTTTTCTGGTTGACGTTTTTTCCCACGGGATGGGTTTGCTGACCCCATGCCCTACTCTACTACCCAATCCTGGCCTGGGACAGACAGTAACCCTAGAAGGTCTATAGGCGGGATTGGGTTTTAAGGCAGAAACCTATTATTGTTGTTCTCTTCTCTAGACATGAAGTTTCTGGTTCTGATACCGCGCAAGGTCGATGGTAATTTCTTTCATTCAGTTTCATACTTAAAGATAACAGTTCCTTCAATCAGTCATTTATAAATAACAAAACTGGGCACCGCCTACATACGTTGGTTCCGATTCGCACAACTTGTCAGCATAGCGAGATAGTATTATCAGAACTGATTCCTTATATTATTATTAACAGTTTGATAACTAATTTAGCAATCCCCCATAAAAATCTGTTTACTTTCTGTACTTCCATTTAGATTGTCATTTGGATTCAGTAAGCTACCTATGGAGGAATTGGAAAGTTGGAAAAGAACTCATGAAACTCCAACTGAATGGCGCGTAAGGCGATCGTTTTTAGAAAAAAATTTTAATAAATTACACCCTGAACGTTTGGAGTGTCTTTCACATTGTTTTACTAATGCTACATTGTACAAAGTCAAATATCCAGCAAAAGTCATGGAAGAGGTATTAGAAAATGTAGTTTTTGTAACCTGATTGATAATGTTTCAATTAGATAAACCTTCTTGGGCAAGGAATTGAAGAAGCCATCACTTGTGAACAGAGTAAAAATTCCAGTCGACGATAAACCGAAGTTAAATATATCAACATTTCTGTAATTTATTCTGGTGTGAATTTCAAGCGGACATGTTTTTCTACTATTTTAACCAGATAGTTGAAGTAAAGTGCCCTCAATAAATAGATTTCAATGCATACTTTATGTCTAGTTTTACAGATTAGATGTTCTTATATAGGTATGAGGGCAGTTGTCACTTCCCATTTGCTCACACCATGGAAATACATTTTTTCTTGGGTTATCTGAAAAGGGGAACTGTATTAGTCGTGATCTAGAGGCGTGACTACACAGCCCAAGGGACAACTACTTGGGGTAGGTCACAGCTTTTTTGTCGGTATTTTTTAAATAGATGGCTTCGTACTTTGAAAGCCTTTACCATCAGAGACGGAAATCTGTGTCGTAAGGTAAAGTATACTACTTTTAGGATTTATCTTTTCGAATCCGTCCTTCCGTTGTAAGATGGCAATCTATGTGGATGCTGGTCGTCTGAGGGAAACACTATTGCAGTCATTCCAGTACTCAGTCAGCAATACAGTTGCACTTAGACAGGCCAATATAGCTCGGTCGGGTTATTGCAATATGGAAGTCCAACCACTCCGTCATCGTAGCAGTTACGGTAGGGAATCTTTATCTACTGAAATGGTTAAGACATGTATTACGTATGCTTAGCCACTGCTTACATCGAAGAGCGGTACTTGGTAATGCAGAGGTAGGTTAAGGTCATTGCTTATTGGTCTAATCCATGTTGGTAAATGCAGACTACCTGGTTGGAGTCCGTGTGATTATTGTGGTTCGAGACTAGGTAACATGACTCAAAATCGTTCACAATGGCGCAGATGCATCCGCTCTCTATCTTCTCGATTATTAATTTCAGTGTTCCTTCGTACATACCTTCCTATTGTATTTTTTAAACCATATTCCCAACATTTAGTCTTCCACATCATGATTGCTACTACATTACTTCGATCTCTTCTGTTAATTTCTTCCCGTCAAGCCAATCGGGTTTGACAACTTAGGCCAAGGACATTTGCTAGGATGGTATCTGTCTGTCAGAAATTAAGTTGGGTGGACGATATTGTTAACTAAAGATCAGAAACAATATTAAAGGTTTTCACAAAAATACCGTACATCGCAGTTCATCAGTTTGCTAGTCTTTCAATCAGTTCAACGATGATTTTTGTGGTGTAGTTTAATGAAAATGTTTATGCATTGATCATACAAATTGGTATTTGCAGCGATCGAGTATAATTATCGTAATAGAACATTTCTGATGTAAAAATATTGCTTTTTGTCACTCTTACTCATTTTCACTAATCTTATTTCCTTTGTCTCTGACTATTCACTTGCAACTTGCTGTCAGAAATACTATTCACTGTAAAAATTGTACCGAAAAATCTCATGGACATGTATTTTGAATTTCTTGATTAAATATTATCAATACGAAACGGCGTTTTATTTCACTATGGTGTAGCAAAAAATTCATTCGCTTGGGGATTGTTTCCTTAGGTAAGTATCTATTCAGGTACTTCAATCAAAATGGGCTCTAAACTACTAGCTACCTTAGAATCGAATTTTCTTTCATATTACGCATTTATGTGAATTCTGATTACTAGGTATTCATTAAATAATAAGAACGTTTAAACAGCATTAGGCCATGAATGTTATGTGTATGCAAATAACTAAACTCGCAAATTTTGAGAAACAAACCAGTATATTCGTAAACAATTGATTAGTTTTCCTAAGTAAAATAGTTGGATATTCTTTGATAAATATTGAAACGCATTATTCCTATGTTATTTCTGAAACATGATTATGTAATTTGATAATAACTTTATGCTCATTAGTGACTAGCTTCAAGATAGATTTCTCATGACCTGCGGAGTTAACAAGGCCAGTAGTGGGACAGTTACTCAATAATGCCGTTAAATTGACTTCACGCGAAACCGTCAATTCACTGAGACTGAAAATTTCTACACTTTTTGTCTAAACTTTCCTCATTTATTTTCTCCATTGTAATTTGGATCTACTAGCCAATCGTTCTGATCGTCTTATCTGCGATAAACCTGTGCGCCTCCCCTAATAGTTATAGCTTATTGGCTAATACAATCAGTCAGAATAGAGCAAATAGCGTTATTTCACTAGGTTTGTTTATTCAATTTTAATTTATATGATGCAAAATTATCGAATCATATAGCATTCATGAGTTTTTCAAGACAAAAGAAATAATAGTCCATAGATCTTATTTTCAAATGTCTAAGTTTATCATTCACGTAAATGTACTGAAATGAGATTGCATCTCAACGTTGGCACAAGTACTTATTGTCAAGAACATTGTCATTTTCAGCAATTGTAATAGATATCAATAAATATACTTTCTATTCTTAGTCTTGAGAAAGAGAGTAGTCATTTGTAAAGTTTAAAAATATTATGTTGATAATAAGATTACCAACGGCGAGACTATAGTTTATGGACGAACCAATTAGATCTTGGAGGTTGGTGCGAAATTCATCTACCCATTTGTCTAAATAGCGTTTTGGCATTTTAGCTGATGTCAGTTCGTGATGAAGACCATGAATCTAATTCTTGATGCTAACTATCAGCTGTAAATCATAATCCTTATCTTTCAAACTGCTTTACAACCTTCATTTAGCCCTATTAATTAGGTGGACTTCTCAAGGTCACTAGGGCGTCGTTCATAAATTAAAATCTCACCATTACCACCAACTAATAAAAACAGGAGAATCAGTTAGTTTGATTTACTTATAAATTAACAAAAATTTGGTTGCCACCTACGCTCATCAAAGTGCGGACACATAGATTTATCACCTGACACTATCCCAAAACTTTAAAAGGGACTATCTCTGACAGATGATATATTTTTCTATCTCTGATATATACGTCTATTCATAAGATGTATAAATATAAGCTTCGGTACAATGGATGCCCATATATCCTTTTCAAAAACGAAACAAGATGTAAAACTAGAGGGAAAGAAAACAAAGAGAGAAGTACGGCGAAAAAAACTAATTCTAACATGTTAAAGAATAAACTCTCAGAGGACAAGAAAAATATAAGTAACAAAAATAAATCTATAAAAAGATGTCCAAGTTTTATAAAAAAAAAGAAGAGAACGCTTTAAATTTAATGTCAGTGAAAAATAATACATCCCCTTCTCTGTGTCCTGTACACTCAAACTTAGAATTTCAGTTTTACTTAATTTATTCAATCATATCAGTGAGGGTAATCGTAGTAGAAAAAGAAGGAGAAGAAGAAGGCTTATTCAACTTATTTTCACAATTTAACGAAGAATCCTGATTATTGTCGATACCATTTATTCTTCTGATTACTTTTTCGAAAATATATGTCCATGGGGCAATAGCAGATGATTCGTTGAAAATATTCTCATAATTCATAAAACCAGTTGATACAAAATTAGATTGTTCAGATGTGGTTTCCGATAACTAAAAGCAAAAACAGTAAACAATTAAGATGTTGCTCATATTTTACACAACAAGCAATCATGTTGGTGAAATCAAGAATTCCTCTTATTTTACAACGAAACCATAAATAACAGTAAATTGAACTAGTGATTCAAAGGTTGGTAATCTGTTAAAAGAAATTAAGTTACATTTTTATAATCGAAACTGATCAATATGATAATGATCAGCGTGGTGCTAATGCTTATTTTTTGAAATTCTAGAACACGGTTCAAATATTAAGTAGCTAGAAGTATTCAGATATATGGTTCATGTGCTGCGATACTTATCTGAAACTAAGAATAATTTATTGTTAGAGACTCGAAATTAACATCACTTGATACTCTATCAAAGGATATTATCTTTAGACTAATGAAGTAAAACAATCTACAAACCCAGAGAATGATTAGATGAATGAAGACAAAGAACAGGTTTTCCAATCACAAATAACGATTGCTTCGCTGACCACTATCAGAATTTCTGCAACTCCCAATGTGCGTCAAACTGTCAGTCGATGATTCCACAGGCCATCCTTTAGGGAGATATACTGTGGTGAATTCAAAGTTAGTCAGTATTAGTGATAGTAATAAAACAGGGGAATGTACAACTGAATCACAGTGTTGTTATTACGTCCGAAATACAATGTATTTACGAAAGTACACTTGGTATTAACTTACTCCTAATTCTTGAAACAATTCCGATTGTGGTATGTCTACAATACATTTCCATGAAGAATAACTACACAATTCTTCGGATGATATTAGGTCGTTACTAACTCCGTTCTTCAAAGGATTTGGTACTAAATCGAAATACTCTTCTTTTATTTCCATCTTTTCTTCAATAGAACTGTTCATTTCGGCTTCATAGTTTAATACAGATAAACGTCTACTTTCAGTAATTCGTGATAATTCACAAAAACTAGTTCGACAACTATCATGTGGACTGCAATCAATTCGCATTGTGTTGTTATCGTCATCATTTGTATAGTAATCAGGAGTAGTATTTTCAGATGAAAAGTTAACAATGGAATTAGTATAATGATAAGATGGATTGGTTTCATCAACAATTTGACGATGTGCTGTACGCAAAGCATCGAGAAATATCTGAGTGATTAGAGGAGTATCTATTCGGTCCAATTTGTCTGTATTTGTAGGAAAATTTATTGAAGATGATTGCAATGCGGTAGAACTATTTTTTCTATCATCATTACATTGAATTAGTGAATAGATAATTGGTAAAGTAGTGTTAAAAGCATTTTCAACTGTAATTTTGTTTATATGGTAATCACAAAAATGATCAAACTGTAGAAAACCCTGTCCAACAAGATGATCTGAAGACAGATATCTGTAGATAGAAAGCAAAAATGGCTAACTCTAAAATTCAGATAATAAAATTATAACCAAATAGATTGTGTGATTTGGAATAACTATGCCAGTTTTTATACCTAATAAAGCGGTTTGAGTCACACTATTCTTAAACGAAATAATGTACGTAAATCAGTTGACTATTAGTATTAGTCAATAAACTCTACTACATGTTATTTTCCGTACGCCCAGCTGCAGTGTTGACCATTTGTACAGTGGTAATGGTTACACTAAAACTACACAAGAAGTTTCAATTTTAATTGAGACACTGTAATTTCCCACACTTGTAGATTGGGCTCTGTGAATTTAGTCTAGGGATATAAGAGCGATTCCTTGACCATAGTTGACCCATGTGGACAGTAAGGATAGGAAAACTAATTTTTAGGAATGAACCTTTCCTTATGTTAAAAAAACGAAGAACATTATGATACAGTCTGTTCATAACTACCGTCTGTGATTGTCCGTGGAATATATAAAACAAAATGACATTGGAAGATAGCAGCCAATAAGGAGAAAAATATCAGTGCAAGTGATGTGAATTCTGAACCTTCAGCGAAATTTTGGCGTGTAAATGTAAAAAAAAACCTACTAAAGAAACAGGACTAAGTATAAATATCAAAATTTTTGTCGAGTTTAGGAAAACTATCTTCTATTGCTTAGAACTGATAGCAATAAGGTGATGAATGGCAAAATATAGGGTTCTCTATGGTATGGGATTTAGTAACAAATCGTGAGTGAGAGCAGAATGTATATATATATATATATATATATATATATATATATATATGATAAAGTTCCAGTCATTTGACCGTAGTAACAGCATTTTCAAGAGGTAGGATACTACAAATATATCTTCAGAAAAACTTTAATCTTGTTGCAAAATCAGGAATATTAAATTAGTCGTATGAGTCGACCGAGTAATTGTTTTTCTACATACAAGAGATAACGGTTATGCACTTTCTCAATTAAAATCTACCTAAGAATAGGTAGACACTACTGAGAAAGGTAAAGATAAACGTTATTCATATTCAGTAGAAAAATCAATTGTTATTGGCTGGCATGTTGTGCTCCTTTATTCTAAAAAAGCACTACAAGATAATTAGCCTTAGGAAATAATTTGAAAGGCAGACACATTGACTTAGTGCATAGAAATAACTAATTGTGCAGTTGGTACGACCCTTATTCACTGTGAGCCACGTTTTCATCATTTACTCAATGTTCATAATTCCTCCAGCCAGACGCGTGAGCGTATCGATATATGACGAAGATTCAGTGACTTTACAATAACAGATGTCGTAATAAATTGAACTAAAACAAAAATCGATACAGCTCAGTTACTTAAAACAAACTTACTCAGGTGAGTTTTCAGTAGACGGATAACTTTCATTATTGTCGTTCTCCTTCATAGTATTCCAAATACTTGAATAAATATTATTATTTAGGATAAATTTATCCTGACTGAAATAATCTTTCAATCCATTCTCATAAATTCCAGTTGGCTGAATAAAATGGGTTGTTTCGAATTGAGATGATATAAATTGTGAATGTAAAGATGGTTCAGTCATAAATGATTGTGCAAATGTATGCGTTTCTTCGGATAAACGATTCATTGCTATAAATATGAAAAATAAGACCAGTGCACGGGGTGAAAAAACTGAATTCAACAAACGAATTTCAGGCACCTTGTTACTGAAAACCTAGGATATCCTTAATATACCCACACCCATAAAATTGTAAAAAAACCATTGCTTAAATGGTTTCTGAAAACTTGCATAATCTGAAAGTAGTTCCTGTCACAAAGTACCTTTTATAGGATAGGACCATTGGATTTCGGATAAATGATCAAGTGATACTGGGCTCGTTTTAAAATCACAAAGTCCTAAATCCGACTTCATGCGTCCGTACTACGGGAGTTTTCCGGTACTTTCTGGCGTACAATAGCTACCCAGTTGGTGGTAAAGGCTATCTCTAGAAATTTTAATTGCAGGTCAGATAACTGACAAATTACATAATTGTTAAATACATAAAAGTGATATAATTTTCCAATCATGGTGGTTTAATACCCTGATTAAACGAAAACAATGTTACCCGAAACACTATTTAATGTTTAATCTTTTCAAGTAAACAATTATTCGGCAGAGATATGTCGTGTCTAACAGTGGAATCTTGATTCCCATTTCACACTATTTTTTCACTCTGGGACGTGAACCCAGTACCGTTCGCTGTAGATTATTATTATTATTACTGAACATTTTGAAAACGTCCAAGCACCAAAATTAATTTGAATACAATGTTCAAGGTACGAAAAAAAACAGGAGAATATTAATTCTATAAAAAAGTTGTGTACAATCAATTATGAGGTAGTTCTACAAACAAAATCACCTTTCTCCTTATTAACGACAACTAAACAACGTTTTAGCCGATTACCTACAAGTGAAGTATTTAAACAGAGAAGAGAAGTAGAGTTTGAACTTGCAATTCAAGAGTTGAGATCGAATCTTCGATTCGTAAAGACACCTTATTAAGAGCCTAATACCTAACGTGTATCAATTTTCAGTATTTAAATGATTACCTTGATATATATATATATATATATATATATATATATCAACAGGTATGGAAATTAATTTTTACCCTCATCAGGTGAATCACTTGAATATAACATTTCATCTGAATATAACAACGTTTGGTTCCAATATGTGGCCAACCCAGTAACAGCTCCGCTCCATAGAGGATAAATTGTCAATGGATATTGATCATTAGTGACATAATGATGCATCCTCGCAATTTGGTTGGGACAAGTTTGAATAGTTTCAGGCCAATCGAATAATTCACTGTTACTAACTGTATCAAGCGATTGATGTGGATGCTTAATGGACTTATCCAATTCACTAGATGGAATCAGTGAAGATGAGATTGCTAGTAAAAAAGTGAAAAATATTATTATCATCGGGTATCGGTATTAGATAAAATGTGATTACAAATACACTGGAATATCTATGTAATAATGTGAACTTTTAAATTCAACTAAGTATTATTTGTTTGAATCTTCCCATCGATTTGTTAGGACTGCAACTGGTCAGTCTCTAATTGGCATATGTGCATACTGTGCGTATTGCCTCGATATACCTTAATTCACAAGCATGGTTAGCAGAGATGGATAGTGGCTAGCAGTGGAATCCAGGACGCGCGTTTCGTCCTATTTGGGACTCGTCAGCTGGATGTACCTGCATCTCAGAGTTGATGTTCACTCTGGGACTCGAACCCAGTACCCTCGCTTCAAACGCCATCGCGTTATCCACTAGGCCACTGAGTCCTGATAGCCACGAGTGGATAACGCGATGGCGTTTGAAGCGAGGGTACTGGGTTGGAGTTCCAGAGTGAACATCAACTCTGAGATGCAGGTACATCCAGCTGACGAGTCCCAAATAGGACGAAACGCGCGTCCTGGATTCCACTGCTAGTCACTATCCATCTCTGCTAACAATGTGAGTTTTTGTTTAAATAACTCGTTTATACATATCATTCAACACGTCATATATAATTTTTTTGGCGCTATGTATTTAATTACAATGAGTCTATTGAATGAAGTAAACGCATACTCCCCATTTGTAAATAATCAAGTTTTACTAGAAAACTGAAATTTCACCCGAAAATAATTTAATATAACTAAGGAATTCATTAAATAATGAATATACTAATGATGATCGGGATCAATTATTCATGAACAATTTAAGATTTCGAGTAAATATGCATCAATTCCAGTTATTAAACGTTACATTAGGACAGCGGAACAGTAAATTAATTAAATGGAAAACAAAAGTATTTGAATTACTAGCAACGATAGAAGTGGCAAACAGCTTAAAAAGAATAAAATAAATTAAGCAGCAAAACGTATAACGTCATAATAATAATCAATATCTAGAGACAATAAAATGAATACGATTGAGACTTGGAGCTATTTCATCAAAATTAGCTAGTCACACATATATTATGATTATCCAATGGACTCTAATCAACCAATGTGTACTTAAGGGCACATTCTTCTTATGACATTCAATTTGTACTTGTTGATACAGTTTGGTCTAAAATTCAATGATTTCAGGATTATATTCAAGTGGAAAGTGAACTGCTTATCTCTACACATCCTAAACTACTGATTATTGAAATTAAACCATCTAAATAAAGCTTATAAGTACTACGATTAGTCAGTTTGTTATCCTCCAAATTTACTGAATATCAGATTAGCTTCAAACATAATATATACTCATAGATACATGGATATATATAATTGTAAAGATTTGATAATGATGGTTTATTGGAGTTGGATAGTTTAATGGAGGATCTTTGATTGTGATTTTTGGCATCGTTAATGCCTACCTCAAGACTTGTTCATGAAGTAAACGTTATTGTTGTACAGGGCGACAATAAAAGTCTCATCATTAAACTATCCAGGTCACAGAATCTGATATTATTAAGGACGTCCATTTGGTCAACAAATCTTTTCATTAATTTACGGTACAGACGAAAAAATAAAGAATTAATATTGTATTTTTTAAAATATGACACAATGAAGAGAACTCACATTTATGGTTAGCCGTTTCCAAGAGTTCTTGTGAAGTGACACACTCTTCAGCTATAAATCTTTAGGAGAGGAAAAAGTATAAGATAGGGTTTTCATGATGACTATATTAGATATAAAATTCAACAAGCCGTTCGTGTAGATTTTGAATAATATTGTCAAAACAAACGGTAGGTCTCAATAAAAAAAACAAAAATCAGACGATGTACGCAAACCTGGTATAACGACATGTGTTCGATTCGTTCAGGAATAGTTACTTACATATATAGTAATGAGGTTTCTTTATGTTACTGAGGTAACCACATTAAATACAGTAAGTTATTTCACTAGTCGAGCAATTGTACATGCAATCTCTTTAGTAATAATTTAAATAATTCATATCATCCATATTATATTATATACTGTTTTTTTCATTTATGGGTTGTACACTACTTCATTTACGCTCATTGTGTAAAAGTTATACATCTTTGCAGTTATCATTTTATGACTTAATATTACAATCTTGATTATGCTGTTATTTTGATGATTCCCTGTATAAATTTCTCTACGTTGATTAATACCTCTAGGGAAGAAAATGAATGCCAGAATAAAATGTAACCCGCTGAAATTTAAAATAGAAAACCTTATTTAAGCTATTAATGAAAACAGTTTCTCTTCATTAAAAAAGACTAAAATGAAGACGGCTCAGTAAAGAAAAATTTCTTTTCGACGATGTCATTTACATAAGCTATAAAATTATATTCATAGTTAATTTTACATATATTCGACGGTAATAATGTAAAGCAACCTTGCAACTTTTAACAAAGTAATCAAGAATCATGAAGAGTTTTAGAGGGTTGAATATAAGTTGCATAAGATTAAAAGTAAAGAGCGAAAAATCGTTTAAAGAAGAAATTTATAAGACAATGATGATGAATACGAGAACAACTGGGTCTAAGATATTGTGAAACTGGAAAGAATGTTAAGCGCTGGAAGATGTCTATTTTTCGAATACAGAGATCAAGTTTGAATTGGTGAATTTCCATTGTTTCAGCTGTTTACAAATATCTTATCAAACCTCTATTGAGCCAGTCCTTTTTCAATAATCCTGAACAATAATTTCCGTGACTAGAGTTGATCACGTTTTTAAGGATTGAGCGACTGACTGACCGGAAAACCTTTTCAGATAGCCATCTCGGACAGTGTTAAGAAATAAATTTGGTAAGTTCGTGGTTTATGTGGCCGATACAACCTGCTCCACAAGAGCACGTTTTATTTATTTATTTGAACATATAAACATTGGTACAGGGGGGCACCATATATATATATATACGTCACACAACAACAATGAGGCCAGTAGCAATTTTCATTGGTTTGCATGAGAGCTGAAATACTTCCCGGGCGCCCAAACAGAAGTACGTGGTTTCCTTAGAGGGCCATCCTCAAGCCTCTGATCTAGAAGTCTAATCCACAAGGCAGTGAAACAACGTTAGGAGATGCAGTCCCATGGTAGCAGGTGACCAATAATTGGTTCATACACCATTTGTTCCCTCGGGATACTCGAGCCCATGTACACCGTTGGTTTGGAATCAGAGTCTTCCAACTTCCCTGGGTGGGTCCTCCACACCCACCAAACCTGTTCGGGTGCCGGATATTAGCTTTTCGTCCTCTCAATTTCGTAAACAATACCTCTACCGGGAGAAGGCTATGAGTAGGACTCCTCTGGCAGTGACTGTATTGTATACGCGTGGCGATGTGAGAGCATCCCGAGAGGAAGCGAACCATCCTCACCCTCGACCGTACCAGGGCACGTAAACTGATAAATTCACCTTAAAATCGGCAAATAGCTGAGGGGAACTCTACAACCAGTCAAAAGTCATATTAGTAGACACAGGGCTTAAAGGAACTGTTCCTACTCTGCAATTTCAACGTGAAATTAAGACTTAAAGATGATTTGTATGGACACGTTAGATGGTGTTGTATTAGAAACTTCACTGGGTCGTCTTCTGACAGACTGACGTATGGCTAAAATAGAGAACAACTATCGGTAAATTTCATTTTTGTAAGATATATGAACACTGCTCTGATCATGTGACACAAAGTATTCTTAGTAATATATGATCGAAAAGAGTGTTTCTTCCAGTTGACCGTCTTCTAATAAAGTAATGGGTTTTTCGGGTAGCCTATGATAATTTCTATTTACGATTGGAAGTTCTTCTAATACGAACTCAACGAATGGGAATTCGAATATATCAGACGCCTGACACATAACAACTCTTTAAAGCTAGTAATCTATACGTAATCAGATAAAAAACGGAACAACTCTGTCTACGGAGTAAAATGCAGGAAACCTGCAGCACATAAAAATTTAGCACACTAAAAGTCATAACAATCAATCAGATGACAATAAAGGTTACTGCGTAGGTAGGTATGAGGTAAAAAAAATGTTGTAGAGGTTATACTTTGAAGACAGAAATGACATGTAATTAAAAACATTAGATAGCCTGAGCTCTTCTCAAAACTTTTAGTTTTAAAACAAAATAATCATTGAAACCGTAAGATCACATTATTATATACAAATATCTTCATACGGTATTCAATGCTTAAGTTTACCGATTGATTATGATGTTCACGTTATTCCAATAGCGATCCAATACTATTCAAACTTCCAAATTATTCACAAGTAGTATATACTGATTAGTAAAGTTGTATTCAACCAACAAGCAGTTTTTAGCACAACTTGTCAGGATGCACACATGTCTATGTGCATCCTCAGCTGATTCCCTCTACATCCCGATTAAGCCATAAGTTTTTTTAAAATTTTTACTTGTTAACTTAATCGATACTACAAGTGATCGGTTATGGTCCTAAACATCAATAAGAAAATTCAAATAACCAATACTAATGAATTATATGACTTAATTTGAGATGATAAAATTTCTGATATCATGTAACAAGTACTTATTACCAGTGACAACTAATGTAATCTGCTATGGGAATATTACCTCCTAAAACATCGGGTTTTTTTCTAGGAAGCCTATACTGGTCATCGAAACAAATTACTGGATTTAGTATAGAAGTGATTTGGTATTAACCAAAAATATGTATAAGGTAGACAATTACTAGAAAAAAGTAAAAACAAATTAATTTACTCATTGTATTCATCTATAAGTTGTTTTGTATGTGGTAGTCTTGGAACAGTTGATTTTGATGTTTCTTTTTTATTTTGATGATTTACAACACGTTGATTGTCAGCAGAAGATGAGGATGATATTTTATCGATTGAATCTGATTTACAATTTAAATGGGCTGGTGAATTATCATTTTGATAGAACACATTCATTACACGATCTAGCTTACTCTTATTATTGTCATCATCCACATCAGGTCCAGATGCAGAGGATGGTGAGGAAGAGTTATAACACTTTTTACGTGAAGAGATACGTTGGGTTTGTTTTCGACGTATTTCATGGTGATGATTATTATTATTAACATCTTCAGTAAGTCGTATAGATGCCTGAACAGCTGCAACAATATCAGCTTCTGCCATACGCGGTGGTGAAGCATCTTTATTGACTGCCTGTGTTGGTGTTGTGGGTGTTGCTGCTGGTGGCAGTGGTGATACAGATTCAATTTTTGTAAAACGAGAACGATTTGATACGTTAGCATGATCATCTGATGCATTAGCATTGAATCCTGATGGCTTTGAGATTTCAACCAATGGGACCATTGTTTTCTTTTTACGATTTGCTCGTGATGTACTCGCTTTGTCTGATGTTTGATTAGTTAATTTTGATAAGTTTCTTGAGTATGATTTTCTGAAATGAAAAAAATATATTCACAATAAAGCAAAGAAAGAAAAAAAATGAATTCAATTTATGTAGACACGGTAAATTTGGAGATAATTTTTACCTTTAAGACAACAAATAAAAAGACATACTAATAATAGGACAGTATTTTAACTGTAGTTGTGGAATAACTAGCCAAGTTCATTATCAGTTAATATAAACCAAAGCGAGTTACCGTATTCTGTAAACAGATCAAACCATTCTAATGATAGTTAAGAGTAAGTTTGCATTAAATCGATTAATAAATAGTTGAAAAATCCTTTATTAACCATTTTAGTTCAGTCTTTTAAACTTAACAAAACTACTCATAGGTTTGACGTCGTTTTTTAAGTTTTGAAAGAAACAAGAGGAAAGTGATGGATTTCTATCTGTAAATGATACATAAACCATGTAGAACTTCACCTTGAAGTTACTGAATAACACTATATAAACATAATAACTCATTGTCAGTTGTTTACATAATTAGCAACTGGATAATTTAGCTTTATAACGCAGTAGATTATAAAATGATTTTAAAAAATGCAAGATATGTAAAGAGTCTTACTTGGCTTCCATTTTAATGTAACTGTCTTCGAACTAACCATTATATTTGACTAATTTTAACTCAACAATACGCGTTTAGATTGGAAAATCAGTATGAAGTAATAGATCGTAACAATAATCACGTTAATTTAATTTGATAACTTGTTGGAGAGATCTAAAGCATTCCTCGAAAAAGTAGAGAGGGGCTCTGAGAACTCTGGGAAACATTTAATCCAATCAGTGTTGAATAGAAGTTTCTCAGAAGCATCTAGAAAGTGGAGTCACGTATTACATTTCTGGGCGGATGATTAACTATCCTGCTACTGCGTTTAGTATGGTTTCAAAAATTTCCAGAAGCACAACTTACGCCTGCTACCCCGTATAGAGGAGCATAGGTCGCTCACCAGCATTCTCCATCCAAATCTGTTATGAAAAGTCCTTTCCAATTGCTATTCATCCTTTTCAAGTCTACTTAAAATTCTCATATAGTGTGTTCTTTGGTCTTCCTATTTTCTGTTTCCCATCACGATTCCAAGTTAGAACTTGCCTCGTGATGCAGTTTGGTGATTTCTGTAATTTAAGTCCTATCCACCGTTAGCGTGTTTCCTCTCCAAATGAAAGTTGATTTATTGTCTCCCACAGTAGGCTGTTGTTGATGGTATCCAGCTAACGGATATTGAGTATCTTGAGTAGAAATCTGTTTACAAATACTTGTACTATTTTGATGATGGTTGTGGTAGTTTTTCAAGTTTCAGCTCCACACAGTAGAACTCTTTTGATATTCGTATCGAAGATTCTCACCTTAATAATGGCTTGCGGACAGTTGTTTTGAGTTACATATGCTCTTCAACTCCAGGGATGCTATCCTTGCTTTGTCAATCCTCGCTTTTACGTCTGCATCAGATCCTCCTTGTTCACCGATGATATTGCCGACCATCCACCTGTTCCAGTGTTTTGCCATCAAGTGTGATTAGGTTAGTGTTCTTCGTGTTGTATTTGAGGATCTTAATTTTTCTTTTGTGTATGCTGAGGTTACTGCTGCAGAGGTTTCTGCCCGCATTGTTTGTTTTGACCTGCATTTGTTGGTGTGTATGGGATAGAGGTCATTTGCGAAGTCCAAATCATCTAGTTGCATCCAAGACATCCATTTTATTCTGTGCTTCACCTCAGATGTCTAGGTCTTCACAATCCAGTCAATCACCAGAAGAAAGAGGACAGGGGAGAGTAGACAGCCTTATCTGACTCCGATCCTTACTGGAAATGCATCTATCGCTTTTATCAAGCGTTAATCAATATTTATAGTCAGACAAGGATAGGTTACCGACATGTGATGAATAAGATGAAAAGTGTACACACACATACGCTCATGTAAAAAATAGGGTTAATGAGTGAATAGTTAACAAGGTGAAAATGTTACTCATGATGGATAAGTAAATTGGGTCGTCCAGATGCTAGAATAAAGTATATAGGCTTAACATATCAACCGACACTACAATATCTCCACATGAAGCCTTATAATTCTTCCAAATGAAGATCCTTCAACTTCTAGGGCAGAGCCTAAATGGTTTAAATAATTTTTTCTGGTTGGCGTTTCTTTCCATGGGATGGGGTTGCTAACACTATGCCCTACTCTACTCCCCTATCCTGCCTTGGGACCGGCAGTAAACGAAGAAGCGTTACAGACGGAGTTCATAAGAATAGACAAAAGTGCTCTAGTGACAATCACATAGAGATCAATTTAATTAATATAATGTCTGAAATATTAGCCTTAATAATAATTTGACTTGTAACTGGAGCTCGTGGAGAGCAAACTCGAGAAACCTAGGCTGGTTATGGACCTGGACATGGATGTACAGACCAAATGTTCACCCTTCGGAAAGTTCTGAAACATAAACATAGTTTTCAATGTCCGGTTATGATAGTGTTTCTTGACCTTAAAGCGGCCTTTGACTCCGTTGATGTTGAGGTTTTGTGGCAATATGTCATTGAAAGGCATGCCAAAGAAGTACATGAACATTGTCCAGGCTCTCTACTCGGACACTACTGGTCGACTCAGACCTTATAGTGAACTCTCATGGGAATTAGTTACTTTACGTAATGTTCGTCAGGGTTTTCCGCTTTCCCCATCTTTATTCAAATTTGTCATATACATGCTTTTGGAGATAATACTTTCATCACGAGACTTTTCAGGGGTTGATCTTCCAGGAGATTCACTTGTTGACTCAGAATATGCAGATAGTATAGTTTTGTTTGGTGAATATTCTGACAAGATACAGTCTTTTGATCGTCTTGAGCAACAATTCAAGCATGTTTGGAGCGCCGTTTTCTCCCTTCAAGTGTAAAATGTTGCTTAAGGATTGGCTTGAGTCATCGGCTGAATCAATGATAGGTAGTGAAATATTTGAACGCATCGATCGCTCCACTTACCTTGAGAGTCTCACCAGTGCTAACGGTCTGTTGTGTGGCACGAATACCAAAAGCCTGATTGACCTCTGGCAACCTGAGTCACTTGTGGCATGGTTGAGATATCCATCTTCCAAATAAAGGACGAGCTTACTGTGGAACAATTCGCTTCGTTCTACATTATGGTTGTGAAACATGGTCGCTAATAATAGAGGGTATTTCCAGGTCAGTGGTATTCGATCACAGATGTCTTCTAGGAATCGCTTGTGTATTTTGGGACCAACAGGTGATGAATGGCGATTTCAAGTATGGGGTACCAGGTAAATATAGCAAATCAGTTGATGAGGTATTAAATCATCATTAACTGAAGTGGTCGAGACGTGTTATGTATGCCCAACCACTGCCTACCTTGACGATTTTGGTGCACGGGTAGTATTTCAGCCCTCATACAAGTCGAATGATTTGTGTGGCGCTTATATATTTGATGCCTCTTTGTACCACTGTTTATGTGTTTAAACAATAATAATAATGCCCAGACGGTCGATGTTGTCTGATGCAAGTGTTTTGGAAGAAAGCTAGGGTCACACAAACCAAAACATGGCAGCAATGCATGAAATCATTGAGGAATTGGACTGATCCATGTTAATAGGTGTAGACTACTTGGTTGGGGTCCGCGTGATTTTAGTAACCCATGATTAGAGACTTTGAATGACATGACTTAAAATCGTTTGCGATGATGCAGGTGCATTCACTCATTGCCTTCCCCTAGATTCTAAGTTTCTGAATTCCTCATAACTTTCTTCGTTTCATTGATTTGTATTTTCTTGAATCGTGTCTCTGATGTTTAATCTTTCCTATTACCTCTGATACTGGTACCACCTCTACTATTCTGGAATTAGGCCTGACAATTTCATTTCGCTGTGCTAATGGTGTATAGCATTTTGAACCGATGTACATATGTACCAGGTTCTACATTGTGACTGACTGACTATTGATTGGGCAATTGCTTCATTAACGTTACATTTTAACAATAACATTATTATACATTAATAGGAAAGACAGTAATCACTTACAAAGATGCTTTCTGATTTTTAACTTCATCAGCTGATGATTGTTTTGATGAGCCGAACTAAAATGTGATTTTTTTACAAAAAGGAAATAAACATTAGTAATAATACAGTCGAGACTTTATCATGAAAATTGTATCATTATAAAGTTGACTTATATTGCTAAGCCCTAGAGTGCGCAGATTACATAACAGTGAATAAACTTGCGAACTTGCAACTCCATCATTTATTGGTGTATAAAATGTTAGCTAGGGTATAATAAAGTTGGGGAAAAAATAAAAAAAGGACCGACAAATACATAGCAGTAATTCATAAATTTGTTGATTGTTGACTGAGATGGTTAGGCCATGTGTTACGTATGCCTGAACACCGATTACCACGACAGGCAATGCTGACTAGTGTAGGGGATGGCTGGAAAAGAGTTAGGGGCGGCCAAACCAAAACGTGGCATCAGTGTTTGAAGTCACTAAGTTCTAGTCTGAGCCATGTTGACAGATGCAGACTACTTGGTTGGGGTCCGCGTGACTATCGTAACCAATGGTTGGAGACTGTGGGTGACATGGCTCAGAATCGATCACAATGGCGTAGGTGTATACACTCTTTATCTTCCTTTAAACCTTGAGATTAAAATTACTTCATATCTGTCTTCCTTCCTATACTATATCCTTATATACAACCTTTCTTTTATATATTATCACCACTAAATTAACTACTATGAATCCGGTGTTCATCTTGTTGTGCTCACGAGGTATGGCAACTTGGACCAATGCATATGTGTGCCTGGTCCTACGTTGTAGCTGACTGACTGATTGTTGACCTAAAACATAAACGGAGGTATAAACCAGTCGGAAGAAGTCTTCGAGATTAGAGAAGCCGGTGATTATCTGTTAATGACGTGGCTCGAAATCAAACACAGTGATGCTGATGCACCCATTTTTCATTTAATTGCTGAACATGTTATCAATCCTTAACTACTTCCCCCTTATGAATTGCATCTTTAGTATTCATATTTTAGTATATGCTCATTTCTGTTGCTACTCTCACAAGCTTTTAACTTGGGTTGGTAGTCAGGCTTCCATACCATCATGGTCCGATCCAGAAATATTGACTGGAATACTTTTTTTTAGATCTTTCCATATAAAGCCAGTTGGTTGGAGAGTGGTAAGAATAGAAACAGACTCATGGCTCGAGAGTAGTTCTGTCATTGCTGATTGGACAAGGATGTAAGTGCAGTAAGGATGCATCCAGACAACTAACATCTACAATGTTGCTGCCTTATCATGACAAAAGGCGGAGATAAAAAAATTCGGACATTTTGACAAACAACGTGATATGAATTCATGAAATTCTATATGAGGTTTTATATTATTGCCACTTTTATAATCATCACTATTGATTAACAACTTCAGGATTATAATGATGTGAGTGAGATTCAAATTATAATAATGGTTTTTATAAAAACAATAACTGAAATTAAAATGTGCTATCTGTATTTGACCGAAATCATAATTCCTTGTAAAAATATCAAAGTCACTGTCATTGATACCACTATTACCTTGCTTCGTTTGTTATTAATCTTGTTAATTTCAGTTTGCCGTGTTGACCTAGTATAATAACTTGACCTAAAGCATATTTTTATCAGTCGAATGACCAAAGCTGTTCTTGAAAACCTAGTATTATAGAATCTACAATTTTCTTTATCAAAAACTGTTTATCATGTTCAGATAAAAATTTCGGATGAGTATTCATTTCAATAACTCCATTTACGTACGTTTTCACGCTCAAATGTTCAAAGTTATGTTCTATTGACTTGGTTAAAAATAACATTTTTGTTGCACTACATGTGACCTGATATTTAGTTTGACCCTAATCCAATTTATTTAATAAATAAGCATACATCAGTATAGGGTTATGGATATTGCTGGATTTAAATTGATATCATGAATGGATCAATGTTATACAACCATTGTAAAGCTGGAAGCATTAGATGGCTGTTTCGTCCAAGTATGGGACTCAGCAGTGCGCATCTACGATCCCACACATGAAACTCGGACTCAGGACCTTTCGTTTGGAGATTAAACGCTCAACCTCTAGACCACTGGACCGGCGTCCAACAGTGTTAATGTCTAACCTCAACCAAACCACGAGTCCTGTGTGCGGGATCGTGGATGCACACTGCTGAGTCCCATACTAGGACGAAACGGCCATCTAGTGTTCCCAGGTTCGCAATGTTGGTTTAACATTGATCTATTTATAATATCCATTTAAAATAAGCATATAGTCAAAGGTTTTGAATGCATATGAATGCTCAATCAAGTTGCTCAACACAGATCGAACGTTACAAGACTGCCGCTCCTTTTGGAGTACCTATCTGGAGTCTGATCATGCCCTGGTCTACGCCAATCTCACCTTACTTTTCAGTGGCCGAAGGATTGACCGCCATTAACGAATCGATGTTAGTAAACTGGCTGCAACTTCTGTTGCAAGTAAGTATCGAGCGGAGCTAGCTTCTAGGCTAACTACCACTCCACCGAAAAGTATAGATAAGCATTGGCCGCAACTTCACGATGCCATGAAAATGACGAGTAAAGCCGCTTGCGGCTTCGCGAAACGTCCCGCTTATAAGCACTGGGTTTCTTCTGGCTCCTTACAACTGATCGCAGCCCGTCGGTCTACTCCGGGTGACCGTGAGTATGACCACAAACGAAGGCTGTTTCGTAATGAAATTGGGCAAAGCTAGCGTAAGTACCGGGCCCAGATGACTTATCTCCGGCTCTTTTTAAAGATGGTGGTGACTTTCTGACTAAGGAACTGACTGCGTTGTTTGGAAAGGTTTGGGAGCAAGAAAGTGTTCCAACATCATGGAATGAGTCGATAGTCGTCCCTATCTTTAAAAAGGGTTCACGTTGTTGCTGCAATAACTATCGGGGGATAAGTCTACTTTCGATTGCGTCCAAACTATTGGCTTCTATCATTCTTCGTAGGTTGTTTAAAACCCGAGAACGATTGACTCGCGAGGAGCAGGCTGGTTTTCGTTCTGGTCGAGGATGCATTGATCACATCTTCACCCTCCGCCAAATGTTAGAACACCGTCATACTTATCGCAGGCCAACAATCGTAGTGTTTCTTGATATCAGGGCGGCCTTCGATTCGTTGGACAGGACTGTTCTCTGGGATTGTCTTTTGAAGAAGGGTGTGCCTGAGAAGTTCATTAACATCTTAAAGGCCCTGTATACGAACACCTCAGGCAGAGTGAGGGCATACAACCACCTTTCTCCCTTGTTCCATTCGAGCAGTGGGGTTAGACAGGGTTGCCCGATCTCACCATTCCTCTTCAACTTTGCCATCGACGACATCCTGGAAACAGCTCTGCCTGGAGAACGACTTCTCGACCTTGAGTATGCGGATGATATTGTCTTACTGTGCGATAATGCTCAAGGCACGCAACCCGCACTTAATCAGTTGGCAATCAGTGTCCTCAGGTACGGCATGTGCTTTGCACCCTCCAAGTGCAAAGTACTCCTACAAGACTGGCAGGATTCTCATCCTGTACTCACCCTAGATGGTGAGCAGATTGAAGCAGTTGAGAAGTTCGTGTATCTAGGTAGCTATATAAGTGCTGGTGGTGGCGTGAGTGATGAGATTGATGCACGTATAAGGAAAGCCAGAGCGGCTTATGCCAATCTGGGCCATCTTTGGCGCCTTCGTGATGTTAGTCTGGCTGTAAAAGGTCGGATCTACAACGCGTCGGTGAGAGCAGTTTTGCTCTATGCTTGTGAAACCTGGCCTCTCCGAGTTGAGGATGTTAGACGTCTCTCTGTGTTCGATCATCGTTGTCTCCGAAGGATTGCTGACATCCAGTGGCAACACCATGTTAGTAATGCAGAGGTTCGGCATCGTGTGTTCGGGCGCAGAGACGATAATTCAATTGGTGTCACCATCTTGAAACACCGACTTCGGTGGCTTGGACATGTTTTACGAATGTCGTCCCAGAGACTTCTACGTCGTGCATTATTTGCCGACTCTGGGACTGGTTGGAAAAAGTGGAGAGGAGGTCATTGTATGACATGGTGTCGTGGCATGAAAGAAAGCTGCAAAGGGCTAGCTTCTGTTGGCCCTTCACGACTCCCTGGATGGGGTCCATCAGTCAGTTACAATGTAGAACTTCGTACATACGTAAATCAGTTCGAGTTGCCATACCACATTAGCACAGAGATGAAGTTGTCGATTCAAATCCCATAATGGTAGAAGTAGTAAGAGTATAAGCAGTAATCCGAAAGATTAGGGATTGAAGATGTTATTCAAGGAGTATAATACAATAAAATAAATTTGGAAAGAGAAAAAGGATACGGATATGAAGAATTCAGAAGATTAGAATTTGGTAGAACACAAAGAGTGGATGCACCTTCGCCATTGCAAACGATTTTGAGACATGTCATTCAAGGTCTCTAACCATCGGTTACTATCATCTCGCGAATCCCAACCAGGTAGTCTACACCTACCAACATGGCCCAGTTCACTTGTCACTGACTTCTTGGATTTATGCCAAATTTTGGTCTGGCCGCTCCTAGCTTTCTTCCAATCTACTCCTACACCATGAAACATTGCACGTCGGGGCAGTCGGTGGTCCGGCATACGTAACACATGTCCCAGCCATCTCAACTGATGAAGTTTCACTACTTCAAGAATCGATTTGCCATCTTTACCTAGTACCCGTTTCCTAACAACTGCATTACTTACCCGGTGGTCCCAGGATATACGAGCAATGCGTCGAAGACACCTATGATCGAACACTAGTAGCCTACCAATATCCTCTACTCTTATCGGCCATGTTTCACTGCCATAAAGTAGGACGGAACGGACTGCTGCACAGTAAACCCGTCCTTTTGTTACTAGACGGATATCTCGCCAACGCCATAAATGACGCAAGTTGGCAAAAGCTAGACGAGCCTTCTGTATCCGTGCTGAGATTTCGTCACACACTAGACCACAAGAGCTGATTAGACTCCCAAGATAAGTGAAGCTGTCAACACGCTCAACTATTTCACTCCCTATCATTAGTTCAGGTGTCGATGCAACCCAATCCTGAAGTAACATTTTGCACTTCGAGGGAGAGAATCGCATCCCGAACATGCCTGCATTGTTGCTTATAGTGGTCAGAAGACTCTGCATGTTGTCAGCGTCTTCACCGAATAAAGCTATGTCGTCGGCGTATTCTAAGTCAACAAGTGAGCATCCGGTAAAAGTTCAACTCCAGGAGATTGAGATGATGAAAGTGATACCTCGAAAAGCATGTCAACGACAAAGTTAAACAAGAATGGGGAGAGTGGACAGCCCTGACGAACACCACTTGAGGTAATCAATTCCGATGACAGTTCGCCATAGGCTCTAACTCTACCAGTTGTGTTCGAGTAGAGAGCCTTTATGAGGTTAATGTACTTCTTTGGTACTCCTTTCAGTGACAAACACTGCCATAGAACCTCACGATCAACGGAGTCAAATGCCGCCTTAAGGTCAAGAAATACTACTATTGTGGGACGTCTGAATTTGTGTCTATGTTCAAGGACCTGACGTAGAGTGAATATCTGGTCTATGCAACCACGTACAGGTCGGAAACCAGCCTGGTTTTCTCTAGTCTGCTCTGCACGAGCTTTGGTTAGGCGTCCAAGTATTATTGAAGCTAATATTTTAGACAAAATATTAGTCAAACTGATTCCTCTGTCATTGTCACAGGAGGACTTTTGTCCTTTCTTATAGACTGGCACAATCACTGATTGGGACCAGTCAAATGGAATTACGTCCAGTTCCCAGATTCTACCTAAGACCTCAGTCAATCTCGTTGCTAGTACTGGACCACCATCCTTAAAAATCTCAGGGGTAAACCTGTCAGGGCCTGCGGCTCTCCCTCGCTTCAGATTTCCTATAGCTTTTTCAACCTCGTAAAGAGTTGGAGGACTTACCTCAATTTGCCATTCAGGACGACTGGGGATCGTGGGTAGCTGAAGTGTGGCTGAAGGCCAGTTGAACTGATCCCTAAAGTGTTCTGCCCATCGATCCAATCTCCTGGATTCAGAATGAATGATATGCCCATCTTTGTCTGAGATAGTTTCGCTAATATTTGGGTTCCTGATGCCGGTTTCATTAATAAGTCTGAATAGCTGTCTGTTGTTACCTATTGCCGCTGCCTTTTCCATCTCTCTTGCTTTCGCTACCCACCACTGTTCACGATCATTGCGTAGGCTTCTTATTAGCCTTCACTTAAGCTGACTCCGCTCTTCGTTATGTTCAGAGCCAGGTGGGATGAGTTTTCGAGCATCTATCAGTGTGGTAGATGCTGCCGAGATCCATTGTTTCGCCCTAACCTTATGGCTTACCTTACTAGCGGATATCACTGCTGTTTCCACAGCTTTTCGGGTGTCATTCCACGCTGCTTCGGAGTGGACACAACTTACATGTCTGTCCAACTGTTTTTGCAGTTGTTCCTGAAATATATTCTTAGCTTGCTTATCATTAAGTAGAACCCTTAGAGGCTTCCCTGAAGTGTCTTTCCTACGTCCAGTAAGACGCAGACAGATACGTGCTAGCACTAGAGCGGGGGTCCGAGAGATGGTGCAACACAATGGCTAGAGACGTTATGAGATATGGCTCAGAATATAAGCCAGTGGCGATCCTGTTTTAACCTTCTTTTACTTTTTTCATAAAGTGTGGTTGTAACTTTCTTAACTGAGAGAGCTCTTCTGGTTGTACATTTCAGTTCCCCCATCATTACTCTCCTCCTTTTCTTTTTCTCCTTCTTTTATATATACACATCTTCCTTCTCCTCCCATTCTCATTATTTTGTGTGGCGCATATGTATCCGGTGCCCTTTGTACCAATATATATGTGATTAAATAAAATAAATAAATACAGATAAATTTGCAGTAAGGCTTGACGAAAAAAATTGAAGATTCACTCACTTTAAAGATAATGTTTTTGTAGATATTAAGTGTGGTTTAAAAACAGCCATTCCCACCATAAATTGATAGTAGCTATGGGACTGGTGAAAATTATGAATTCTTATAGAGGTTTTATGTAACTGACAGTTTACGGTTTTGGGGGTACACTGATGGGTAGTTTCGAACCAGAGCGAGTCTTCATGATTATCAATGGTTCTTCAAAATATGTGATTTGAAAATCACTTTCACAAACTGTTAAGTAACATTTAAATTTACTGAAAACGTATCTTATTTAATTATCAAAAACAAATTAAATGAAGTGGATTTCACAGAATATTGATTTTAGTGAATGAGAATAGTTTTTAACCAATTAAATCACATCTACTATTATTCTAACATTAATAAAATTGAGTTTAAGATACATTTAGCAAAACTTGAAAGAGATACATTAGAGTTTCGTAAACTAGTCGATAAAACTTCATACCACATTTAACAACCATGTTTCCCATCAAGCCTAATAATCGAATTCGACTCTTACTATTTCAGTTAGAAGAGCCGCATTGTATCATTAGCCCGAGAACATAAACCCTGTCATTAACAAGTAAAAAACAAAACATTAATTATCATTTCAGTACACAACAATCATTCTAATCAGATAAATAAACCAAATCTAACTTACTAAATTTTTTTTATTTATTATTATTGTATCATTTAATGATGGAGTTGATTGACTATTATCATTAGTAGCATTTATAACATCTGATGACGATTGACGAATACAATGAAAATAACCATAATTAATTAAATTTAAGCTTGATATTAACCAATCTTTGCATTTTCCCAAACATATAATATATCTTTTCATTGTTTTATATGGATATTTAATAATAATAATTAAAATCCAATGTAAACTAATATATTTAATAAGAAATAATAATCCTAATAACCATTGAAAATAATAATTTATCCAATCTAATCTTGTTGTTACTATTTCATTTTTTAATTTTTGTTCATTTGAATTAATTTTATCTTTCCATTTAAGTTTTGTTTCTGTTTTAGTTGAATTCAATGTAGAAATTTCATCATTTTCAATGATACTATTTGTTAATTGCTTTTTCATTAGTATAGCAGTGTTTGATGTTGTAATTGTTGAATATGATAATTGAGAATTGGATGTGGTAAATAATTCTCGAGTGGAAGGATTACATAAGTTTTTATCGTTTATACAACAATTGATACATAATTTATCACTTGGTTGATTTAAATTAAATCGTCTAGAAGAATCTGAGAGTACATTTTCTGGTAGTTCATCTATGTAATGTCGTAATTTAATATGACGTGTATATATTTCTTTAGCATCTCCATATGATATGATAAGTATTGCAGTAATATTGAGTAAATAGAATAGAAAGACCGTCATCCTATTCAAAATAGTAAGACAATTTGAGTAAACTAGATCAACATAATTAAGCAAATATGTATTTGATGTGATACGGACAACTAATCGATTGTTCCCGATCAATAGGCAGAGCAATGTTCGTAAACACTTAATATCGTAAATACGATCCAATACAGGCCCAGGGGAAACTAGGTGACATTTAGCAAAACCCAATTCCAAATCTGATGATGATTGACTGACTGAGACAGTTCTCATCCCATTTTATGATCTTACCAATCATTATTAAGGTCAACATAAATGACTCATCACCCCCAACACTATTCGCCAATAGGATAAAAGATAAGATATATGAAGTGGGTAGAAAAATCAAGTCACGCTGTTGACCTAGATCACAGTATGCATGTGAGTGAAACGATGATCCTAACTTCTAAATTTGTAACCTACGCCTCCAACTTCCATAATCGATATTGATTCATTTCTGCGATTAGCTGACATTTATTGATTCGAAATTTTCAGACATCGAGACAAAGACTTCCTAATATTGATTGATTTACGAAATGCCAGTCCAGCAGAGCTTTGCAGAAATAATGGGTTTTTAAACATTAATGAAAAATATTGACAAATAAGTCCAATCGAAGATAGTTTAGATAAAGAAAATGAATTCAACAAAACAATAAGTGAAAACTAAGTAGCACTGGGTTGAAGATGGAAATGTGAATTGTCGAATATAGATCCATTGGCTTAAAACTAACACTCGCTATAAGATCTGGAGGTTCTAGATTTGATCCCCGGTATGTTCATATTTGCACACTATTGAGAAGTTCCGGACTAGCACAAAACAACCATCTAGTATTCTCTGGTTTTTCCTGGTTATCTAGCTAAAACCAGTGTGTGGTGTTAACTTTTTGAACATACATATATTAAACGGTTAAAATTTATTTGGTTGAAAAAATGTACATCAACTAAAGTTGCTGTGTCCCAACAGTAGGTTGAGATGTTTTGATGCACTTTCATTTCTCGTAAATATTAGTTAGGTAACTAACAGGAATGAAGATAATGTGTACGAATATTTTGCTTCATCCGATCAATCACTATATATTATTCATCAGAACAGCTATAGCTATAATAAATAAAGATCCCAGTGTCACATATTCAATGTGATTTCATAAAATTTTATCGTCATTAGGATTTGTTAACTAAACCTAACTTTTCAGTCACGAATTAGGAATACGTGAATACTGATTTGGTAACGATTAATACGAAACACTTATTGGTCAATCAAGGTATGTCTAGTAGGTGTTATAATCCCTATTTTTTTTAAACGCCTATCCCGATAGTCAATATAAACTAGTATGGGAGTAGGTTGGAAGAAAACTTAGGGCGACGAAACTGAACAGCGATAACAGTTCCATGAAGTCCTTGACTTTAGTCTGAGTCATGCTAGGAGGTTCAAACTACCGGATTTAAGTCCACAGAATTTTCGCGACCAATGGGTGAGGATGTTGGGTGAAATGGCTCAAAATCAGTCGCAATAACGTAGATGTGTTCACTTTTAGTCTTCTCTTAGATCCTGAATATATGCCAGGACATTATGCCGTCGGGTTTCAGTCTCGTTGATGATGACATAATTATGCTATTTCTGCTATGTTCCAACGAATTTCAATAAGGAAGGAATCAAAGACGAATGTTATCGGCTTCTGAACGATCTTGCCAGAGTACTCTAAAAAACTGGGGGCCTAAATGAACAGGTTAGAAGAGAGTATTTTCGGGTGTGCGTGTGTGGGGGTATAGAGACTTAATAACTACAGACTGGATAACGGAGACCGCCTTATGAAACTTTGCACAAACCTAGTTAATAGTAACGGTGATCCCCAACACGCTGTTGACAATAATCCTTCAGCAACTCGAGTACGTCACATACCAATCAAATCTCGAAGGTCTGGAACACTTAACCGGATTCCGATCACGCTAATGTATGTAACAACTGCATCAACCAAATGTCAAACAAAGTTAGGTTAAATATAAACCCACTAGAAAGCATAGATGATTGGTAGTTTCTCTTAGAGAGCACTATGGAAACGAACATCACAGCAGGTTGCAGTTTCGTGAAACAACTGGATCGTCCATCGGGCTACGTATTTGTAACATATTCCAACCACTCCATTTGATGAGGGTTTATAGCCATGTGATTTACACCTGACATCAGTACTACTCACTCGTTGGTTTGACTGTACTTAATCTAATGAATGCATCTATTACGTATTACTGAAAACCTAAGTTCATCTTCGATCATCAAAGTTTGTGTTTCATGGGCATTAAGTAATGCGGTTTACAGAGCTAATGTAGAATCACCGTATCTCAGTCTGAGTAGTCATTAACGGAAAATCAATGAAACAGCTCTCAAGCACACTTAATCAGAAAACAAACAGTTATACTAATTTACTATGGAGGAAGAAACATACAGGAATTTATACTAAGTATTATTGTAGTATATAAATTCCACTTACGATAGAAATGATTCGATTGATGGTCTAGGCAATAGACTAAGACAGGAGCCTAAAAGATTTGCATTAAAAATAGCTTGTAGTGAAATCTTGGGTAGATCAATTAATAAGATATGACTGTCATCTGTTTTATTCGATTGTTGTAGATCCCACCATTGGAGAATATTCGATTGAAATAATGTTGGATATAATTGAATAATTAAATTTGCTGTCAAAAAGGTATGCGTAAAATCTGGATAATGTCGTAGTTCGATGATAATCTGTTGACCTGGTAAAATTGTAATAATATTAGAACTATTATTTATATCAGGATCATTAATACTCATCATCTTTGCTGTTGTCATCGTTGTAGGCGGTAGTATACATGGATCTAATTTAAAACCATTTAAATTACATGATAAATGTGAATATAACCAAGAATAAGATGTAGGTATTGATAAATTATTGGTTAGTGAAAAGTTTTCAGTGAATTCCTGTCTACCATTCATTGATGGTAAAAGGCTCAGCATAAATATACTCAACGTAACTTGTCCAGAATTGAGCAGTACTAATCGTCGTCGTAATGAAAGAGTTGTTAATAAACCTTGATGATTGTCAATATCAGCAAAATGATTAGAATCACTCGATTGTCTCCGATGCTTAGATTGAAATGGAGAAGGTAAATTGTCTATCGATTTTGTTTTAGGCGGCTCACCTTGAAGAGAAAGAACATTTTAATCCAAACAAATAAATAAAATGACAAATTTAGAAAACAAATATTATCAATTAGAAAATTGTATCAAAAACTCAGTGATGATTATATTAGTCAGAAAATTCGACACCTACTGTTGTCGAGAAATGCTTAAATCGTACACTTTTAATGAGAAAAAGTTTTAGTAATTTTCAGAAATCAATATATTTATGCTGTTTACAAATTTGATTAATTAAATTGAACAAATCATTAAAAAAATAAATTCACTTAGTATCGTTTGTTTGAATCTTCCCGTCCTGGATTCCACTGCTAGCCACTATCCATTTTTGCTTACCATGCTTGTGAACTTAGGCTATATCGAGGCAATACGCACAGTATGCACATACACTAATTAGAGACTGACCAGTTGCAGTCCTAAACATCAATGGGAAGGTTCAAACAAACAAGACTAAGTGAATTTAAACTTCACCCTATTGCACAAGCAAGTGGCTATCAGGACTCAGTGTCCGAGTGGATAACGCGATGGCGTTTGAAGAGAAAGGTACTGGGTTCGAGTTCTAGAGTGGACGTCAACTCTGAGATGCAGGTACATCCAGCTGACGAGTCCCAAATAGGATGAAACGCGCATTCTGGATTTTACTGCTAGCTACTATCCATCTTTGCTTACAAATCATTAATAAATGTTTGTACATTATCTAAAAGTTTCTAGAATGTCATAATATTTTATAACCAGTAAAAATAATCTGTTACTTATATTCTCAGTAATAAACTTTAAGTAATATAGACCATTCGCTAAGTTCATTTAAATGAACTCAAATTAGAGAGAAATTTTTGAATGAAGGTTAGTGATATCAATTAGTTTTTATAAATTAAATTATATCATGCGAATTTCGAATTTTGCGACATAATGACTGAAAGTTAAGTGGTTGAAGCTATGACATTTAAATAAAACTTTAGTTGTATACAGCGTAATTTGTTTTAATCAGTCGACCATCAATGTTTGTAAAGTAAGTGGTGAAAGTTTGAAAAAATCAGTCAGATAATCAATATCGTAAATGTTTATAATTATGACATAACAGAAGCCAAACATATTCATTATACTAATAAAAAAAAATAACGACGTCAAAAGTCTGAATATCATCAGAAGCAGAGTGGACATTTTTTTACGATGCGGATATTGATATTTTTTAGTAAAATTTAGGTGTGGGACATCATGTGAATTGTTTGTATTCATTTAAAATGCTGAAATTAGTATAGTAAAATGTAAATTTACCTAGATAAATAAGAAACGTAAGATTCGTCAATCAACAGAATCCTATTGTCACTAGTTAAGGATTTACGTAATGCAACTCAAGTACCGTTCCATCTAATCGGCTATGAGCCATGCTGTTTGTGTGCGAACTAACGATGATAATTGGTTGCACCGAATGAAGAAGTTGAGGCGAAGTTCAAACCCATAACACACTAGATGATAGCTAAGTACTTTATCCAGTAATTCACCGCTCTATTGGCAATAATAGTAATAGTAATAATAATAATAATCGACAATTTGAAAAGCAAACAGCGAACTATCGAATGCAAAGATCTAATTTCTAATCCCAAATCGGGTAAACTATGTATGGAAATGAACAAATATTAATATAGTTATTCAAGGACATCATACGAAGAAATTATTCAGTATGTAAGTCAACTGTGAATATTGCCCAATTCAATTTTGTTTACAACTTTCCAACGATATGGGTTTATTCGTCTCCACTAACTAACATCTAACTGTTGAGTTATTTAGATTGATGGCTATACTTCAACTTGATTGATAGAATTAAATCAGTGGTCAGGGAATAGATAATAAGATTTCGGTCAATATGTAGTAACTAGTCAGTGTGAAGAACCAAGTCAATCACGACTTAACTAACATATTGCTAATATCTTTGACTGTTTCTACTAGATGACATATGTTTAAATTCCTATGACAGCATCAGTTGCTATGAATTACAGATATACACCTTACTGATAAGTGTCACAATTAACATAAAAACTATTTTGAGAGGTTTTTTCAAATTGTTTGAAATCACTTAACATCTAATTAAAAATGGTATGAAATTCAGTGATAGACTGTCGTTGCTGTTAAAATATGAATAATTAACATCTTTTCAACAATCCAATGATTTTCCAAATAGGATACTATTTGATTATAATAATTCGCAATTAGAATTTTACTTTAAAAAAATAAAGGTTTGAACAATTCAGACACATAAGAAAAAAGCAACAACATGGAACTAAAGAAAAAAACCCATTTATTACTTACAAAATGTTCCAATAGTTTTTTCAGTGAATTCAAATTTTAATGATAAATCCTGGTGAATCTTTTGATGAATTGCTTTGTTGTTGAATAGACTAGTGAAATCTAAGTCGATATCACAAAGAGTTTGATCAATTTTCAATGAAGAAATTAAGTTATCCTTCAATGTACTGAATCCATTAATGCCACTACTACTACTGCTACTACTGCTACTAGGTGGTACATTACGAATATATAGATCAATATTAGGCGAAATGGAATGTTTAATATGACTGGGATCATTTTCAAATATACTAACGAAAGCACTAATCGATTTTGTCAATTTAGATATTGTTTTTGTAGTTGACAATTTGCCAAGTGTTAAACCAATCCGACCAAAATGAATTTCTAACCATAAAGGTTCTATTGAAGTTAAATTATTTCGTATTATTAATAGACTACGTATGGTATCTTCATTGTTCACCTTATTCTGATTTAATAATTCAAATATATTTTGATATGGTGTAAATATTAAGCGAAAATATTGTCCACTCCCATTCGACGGTAAAATATAACTTGGAGGATATGTTAAATTGATAGAATGATTGATTAGTTGACAATCGGAACATAAAAATGGTTGGACAGAAAATTCTCCATACTGTGTTGTGAATAACTACAAAACGGAAATAAACACAAGAAAATCAGAGAAGATAAAGATATAGTAAACGGTAACAATAATACGCAATAAAATACGTAGTAGTTTGTGTAAACTTTAAGATGTTCATGTAAATGTGATTGGTTGTTTCCAGAAAGTTATTTAGGTACAAGTAGGATTAAAATAGTTGAGCATTATAAGAAGATACAACATAAATATATTCCAGTGAGATAAAATTACTGAATAAGTGATTGTCTCCAATGTTCATATACTGTTCACTTATTTATCTTATCATTGAAAACTCTAGTTGTGATCAATGATGCTACAATGTAACTGGCGATCAAACTTTTATAAATTCTAATGTCTTAGATATAAATAGTTGGACGTGGATATCCTAGCATCTGGTTCTATGAAGTCTTCTACTCCTAAATCTTGAATTGAAAACAAAAGGATGGAAGTATTGAGGAAGCTTTACTTCAAAGGTTAAATCCTATATAAAAGACGAGGGTGTTTATTAGATCATAGAAAACGTTCTAAAATTTGTAACAAATCTGGTACTTGTCCAGTTAAGATAAGGAAAACATAATCGTTTCCTGGATTTTTCTTAAAAGCACTGATTGGTTGACGCTCTTCAATATATATCTTCCTTGCTTCTAGAAGAATTCCCGAGGACTCCTAACAGCTTCATCATCTAGTACACTCAGTATGGTCATATCTTACAACTATACGAGTAAAACACAAAATATTTTTATTATTCAAACTAATCCTCTGTTATGTAAACAAGAATTTTTGTTAACACCATAAATGATGTAGAGTGGGGAATATTAAGTGATTTTAAATTATAGCTATGTTGCTATTTTCAAATTTTGAGGGATGTTATAATGGTTAATAAAACTCGGTTTTCAACCAATAGGTCGTGGGTTTGAACTTAGTTCTATTCACTTCCGTTCAGGTAGCTCAACAAATATCGCTAGCCTTCAAACATAAAGTGTGGCTCATAGTAGAGTACATGAACCTGTGCTTGGAAAATATGCCTTGAGAAATTCCATATGGTAGTAATAAACTTAGAAACGAGTACAATAGAACTTGTTGGATAGATGAAGTAATTATACCGTTTCAAATAGCTAACCTCATACAGTGAAATTAAACGTTCTTACAAAACCAGCCCCAAAATCCTGTTGACATGCAATAGATGTCATATCCATGTCATGTATTTTCAATTTGTCACTCAATTTATTTAGGAGATTTTGTAATAAGCTATTGGTTTTATTTAACGAGATACGATTATTAATTTTACATATCACTTAGCAGAAATGTACACAAAAAGCTATATTAAATAACAGTAACACAAAAAACTTACTGAATCGATGAATGTTGAATCCGCCGAAATATTGGCAATCAGTTTTTTTAAATGATTTAATTCCGATTCATTTGTAGCATAGATTTTATATACTTCATTCCATAATAAGGGTTGAACAAATAACGGATTTATCGTTGATTGAGGATTCGTTATTTGAAAAATACATTGAAATGAATTTGTTGCTTCTGACAGCGACAGTAATGATGATGATGTTACTGTTGGTATTTGCATCAAACGATGAGTGAATAAAGATCGATTCTCTGATTCTGACGATACTGATAATGAAGAGGGGACATTTTTAATAGTACAAAATGTCAAATGTTTACTTGATACATTTATAGGAACCTTCCGGGCTTTAGTTATCTGCGGCCACATATATCGAACAGATAAATCACTAAAAAATGATATATTTTCATCAGGCAGTTTATAACTTATAGATGTTAAGATATTTTTGTTCATAAAAGGATGTTTAGAAGTAATATCTTTATTCATCAAATGTTTTAACCATTGATTGTATAATTCATTGTATAGTTTAAATGTTTCTTCAATTATTAGACGATTTATAAATGACTGATGAGTGATTTTATCTGTAGATTGATTAACAGTCCCTCTAACACCTTTCAACCATAACATTCCTGTTAACAAAATATACCCACAATATTAAGAGAAAAAAAGAAAATTCAAAAAACGGAATGAGCGAAAGTGAACAATCAAGAAATCAGTATGGTTGATGAAATAAAAGTTACACGAGCAGACAATCATTTACTTATATTATAAGCAACGATAATGAAGTATTAGTACATATTACTTGACAGTAATAACATGTATGATAAAAACTATAGTACGTATATACAATGCAGAATATTATGTAGAATATTTTAGTTGTTATAAACAATTGGGGATACAATATTTACTCCAAAAGTATATACTTTAAAAGTCAATAAAAGTCCAATACGTATGTATATAAACGTTTTATATAACTTCATTATGTGAATACGAACAACTTCAGCAAACTGGCCATATAAGTCAATATCTTGATATAACAGCATTAAATAACATTTTGACCATTTGTCGTGACAACTAGTAGCGGAATCAAGAATAAATGTTTCATCCTAACTGAGTACACTAGGACCCTAATGTTGAAGTTCCTCTGGGGGCGCTATTAAATTAAACGTTAATATTACTGACAAAATAAACTAAATTTCGTAGGCCTCTGGGGAACAAAACTTATTAGACACTTCTAGTGTATGGATCTTAGTAATTAAGATAGATCAGTCTGAGAGGTTTTTATTTAGTTGAGAAACGTGTTGTGTGACAAGCTACTACTAGTCCTGAAGGTTGATTTGGGTTTTGCTACAATATGTTAAGGTAAGAAGAATGACTAAACTAGAATATAGAACAAATGTATTGCATCACTAGGATAGTTTAAATGTAAAGTATAGCCTCAGTCTAATATTTATGGACAAACATTGATCTCTAGATAATAAAAGAAACAGACCTATTCCTCTATACTGTTTCGACATGTATTAATTTAATTCAGGCATTATGTATTTGCTCTGAAGAAGTGTCTGACGTTATCATGAAACACTAGAAATTTTAATTTCTCTTCATTGACATCCTATAAATATATAATTATTTTTTTATTAAAAGATAAATTATTGTCAATAAATATGACACTGGAGTGACTGAAACAGCAATTCCTTACGTAATCGGGTTCATTACATCTAAACAGAATCAATATTGAAAGACTAAATTAATTTAATTAGTTATCTAAAATAACCAATTGTTTCATTGAATAAAAATAAAGAGAATTCAGGGAATAAAATTATCTTTTCGATGAAATCATTTACTTAAACTGTACATTCGCATTTATAGATGCATGATAAATACAAGTCTATAGAAGAATAGAAAAGATTGAATAATAAAATGATTCGAGACTGCAAATATCAAGCGGGGTTGCGTAATAGTCATAACAATAATAATTTCTATAAACAAACTGATGGAGTTGCAGTAGGTTAATCAATGGCTGGTTGTTTCGTGGCCAATCTGGAAAATACAGAACTTCAACCAACAATTGGGGGATTTCATTTGTAAAAGAGATATATGGATGATACTTTTACTATTTGTGAGGAAGATATGAACCTCAATGAAATTTTGAATCGATTCAATAATGGTCATCACTTAATTCAATTCACATTGAAAGCAGATGCGAACGAGGAGTTTCATTTTCTTGATGTCCAGTTAACAAGGTCAGATAGTTCTATACATAGGTCTATATATAGAAAACCGACCTGGAATGGTCAGTATATGAATTTCCATAGCTGGGTCCCATTAAATAGAATGAGAAACTTAGTTGACTCTTTATCCTCAAGAATTAGGCGAATATGTTTTAATGACACAATAAATGATGAATTGCTTCAAATTCGACAGATATTCATAAGAAATGGTTATCCACTCATATTCGTCGATAGGAATTAAATACTAAGACAACATCTTGAAAAAGCACCAGCAGTTCAAAAGAAAACTCATTTTATGAATATCGGATCTAAAGGAGATACGGCTGATGAAATCTTGAATAAACGGATTTCCAAATCCTGAATTAAACCTATTCAGCTAAGCTCAGTTCCTCCTTGGTTCAAATTCCCTTCTGTAGTATGTTTTGGTCTTGTTTTATTTTTTAAAAAAACTAGTATTTTGTAATTTTAAACCGTAATAAGTTGTTATTATCCCTTAACAATTTTTCGTGATTAATATTCAGTTATTATTATGACCTTTATGTTTTTCATTTTCATATCTGTCAAACGGGCAATTTTGACCAGTAAATTATTTTTCGTTTTCTTTTATTCTTCTCTAATCCCCTGATTATTACGCAACCTTATTTGATATTTGAAATCGGGAATCACTTTATGATAAAGTCTTTTCTTTATTTCTATAGACTATAATTACGAATGTACAGCATAAGTAAATGATTTCGTCAAAGAAAAAAAATGATATTTTCTTCGCTGAATTCTAATTAACTATACTATTTCAGATATAGATTAGTTAATATATCGATTATAGTATTATAGGAACGTTGATAATTGTTTTAAATCATGTAATAAGTACGGTTTTATTTTAACTTTCAAAATTCAAGTCATTACACATTAGAAAAAATAAGGGTAATTATGAGAGAACATAATAATGAATCATTAATCAAAGAATTAGACACAAAAAGGTCAATAAACACAATCTATTTAATTGAACTTTTGATTGATTTATCAAATATGCTTGTCGGAAGTTTTTACTGAATTCTGATGAATTCCATTAGATATTTATATGATACATTTTAGTTATTTTAAATAAAAGAATAATAAACTATGATAATTCATTATTCAAATGTATAATGAACCATGATTAAGTTCATAAGTTTAGTAGTTATCATAGTACACTCAATATTCTATACGTGGATATTTCATCCGTTAAAAATATTAAGTTCTGGCACGGATCTGTATTGGCTCAAATTGTTACATCTCACAATATCACAAAGAAAGAAGAAATTAATAGGATGAGGAGATTATAAGATCTATTTCAGTGGCCAAGTAAACATATGAAATGTAGTTTGAAAGGAATAAGTGAGACGAAAGAAAGAATAGCATGGAACAGTATTTAACTGAAGATATATATGCAGATAGATAATGTATGCAGCTTAGTCATTGTAATCGACCTTGGATCATGTAATCCAACATCGTCAACTATAGAAATTGATCATAGTAATTTTGTTTTTGATTTTGTTCCGTGTTCCCTACTTTTGTGTTCTTCGTAATTGAGCATTATTATTGTTATTACATGAACCTTGTACCTGGACTGGAAACGCCTTACAGTGAACTATATAATTTTCTTCTCCGCAAAGATGATAGCTCTCATGATGTGTATCCTGGCGATAATAATTCGTTCTGTCTTAAGGACATAGTATGTAGATGATTGTCTTCAGAGATTTCGTCAGCTTCATTTACCTTCGTGTTTCCGTTGGGTGTCTTTCTTGGTTAACCTGTGGTCGAGAAACTGGTTAAACTTTTTTTATAGATTGGTAAATAGGATCTGTATCCATGGGCTTATTCACCATTCAGAAAAGGAATCAGTCAGTCAGTTACAATGTAAAACTTCGTACATACGTAAATCAGTTCGAGTTGCCATACCACATTAGCACAGAGATGAAGTTGTCGATTCAAATCCCATAATGGTAGAAGTAGTAAGAGTATAAGCAGTAATCCGAAAGATTAGGGTTTGAAGATGTTATTCAAGGAGTATAATACAATAAAATAAATTTGGAAAGAGAAAAAGGATACGGATATGAAGAATTCAGAAGATTAGAATTTGGTAGAACACAAAGAGTGGATGCACCTTCGCCATTGCAAACGATTTTGAGACATGTCATTCAAGGTCTCTAACCATCGGTTACTATCATCTCGCTGATCCCAACCACGTGGTCTACATCTACTAACATGGCTCAGTCCACTTGTCACTGACTTCTTGGATTTATGCCACGTTTTGCTCTGACCGCTCCTAGCTTTCTTCCAATCTACTCCTATACCATAAAACATTGCACGTCGGGGCAGTCGGTGGTCCGGCATACGTAACACATGTCCCAGCCATCTCAACTGATGAAGTTTCACTACTTCAAGAATCGATTTGCCATCTTTACCTAGTACCCGTTTCCTAACAACTGCATTACTTACCCGGTGGTCCCAGGATATACGAGCAATGCGTCGAAGACACCTATGATCGAACACTAGTAGCCTACCAATATCCTCTACTCTTATCGGCCATGTTTCACTGCCATAAAGTAGGACGGAACGGACTGCTGCACAGTAAACCCGTCCTTTTGTTACTAGACGGATATCTCGCCAACGCCATAAATGACGCAAGTTGGCAAAAGCTAGACGAGCCTTCTGTATCCGTGCTGAGATTTCGTCACACACTAGACCACAAGAGCTGATGAGACTCCCAAGATAAGTGAAGTGGTCTACACGCTAAACTACTTCACTCCCTATCATTAGTTCAGGTGTCGATGCAACCCAATCCTGAAGTAATATTTTGCACTTCGAGGGAGAGAATCGCATTCCGAACATGCCTGCATAGTTGCTTATAGTGGTCAGAAGACTCTGCATGTTGTCAGCGTCTTCACCGAATAAAGCTATGTCGTCGGCGTATTCTAAGTCAACAAGTGAGCCTCCTGGTAAAAGTTCAACTCCTGGAGGTTTAGCTGATGAAAGTGCTATCTCTAAAAGTATGTCAATGACAAAGTTAAACAAGAATGGGGAGAGTGGACAGCCCTGACGAACGCCACTTGTGGTAATCAGTTCTGATGACAGTTCGCCATAGGCTCTAACTCTACCAGTTGTGTTCGAGTAGAGAGCCTTTATGAGGTTAATGTACTTCTTTGGTACTCCTTTCAGTGACAAACACTGCCATAGAACCTCACGATCAACGGAGTCAAATGCCGCCTTAAGGTCAAGAAATACTACTATTGTGGGACGTCTGAATTTGTGTCTATGTTCAAGGACCTGACGTAGAGTGAATATCTGGTCTATGCAACCACGTACAGGTCGGAAACCAGCCTGGTTTTCTCTAGTCTGCTCTGCACGAGCTTTGGTTAGGCGTCCAAGTATTATTGAAGCTAATATTTTAGACAAAATATTAGTCAAACTGATTCCTCTGTCATTGTCACAGGAGGACTTTTGTCCTTTCTTATAGACTGGCACAATCACTGATTGGGACCAGTCAAATGGAATTACGTCCAGTTCCCAGATTCTACCTAAGACCTCAGTCAATCTCGTTGCTAGTACTGGACCACCATCCTTAAAAATCTCAGGGGTAAACCTGTCAGGGCCTGCGGCTCTCCCTCGCTTCAGATTTCCAATAGCTTTTTCAACCTCGTAGAGAGTTGGAGGACTTACCTCAATTTGCCATTCAGGACGACTGGGGATCGTGGGTAGCTGAAGGCCAGTTGAACTGATCCCTAAAGTGTTCTGCCCATCGATCCAATCTCCTGGATTGAGAATGAATAATATGCCCATCTTTGTCTGAGATAGTTTCGCTAATATTTGGGTTCCTGATGCCGGTTTCATTAATAAGTCTGAATAGCTGTCTGTTGTTACCTATTGCCGCTGCCCTTTCCAACTCTCTTGCTTTCGCTACCCACCACTGTTCACGATCATTGCGTAGGCTTCTTACTAGCCTTCGCTTAAGCTGACTCCGCTCAGCTTACGCAGCATACATCGATGGTGTACGATTCTAGAGTCCTAGCTAAGGAAGCCTGTTGTCCTATTTGGCACAATGTTCGGACATTAAAAGTTCCTACATGTAGTTTAGAGAGAGGTTTCGGGAGACCAGGAATAACGTTCCGTGTACACGAAACGTTTGCCCTAGCGGTGCGAGGTGATAAAACGACGTGGGAAGGGTTAGTCATGGAGACGAGAGAGTTGTTAGGAGGTGTAGGAAGGATTTGAAAGTGACCAGCTTGGTCTCGTGTGCTGTTACGGGTATGAGGGCATTTATCACTTCCCGGCTGCCCACACCGTGGAAGGGTATTTCTTGAGGGACCTGAAAAAGAGGTTGGATTAGTGTTGGTCTGAACGACCTGGGAGCGTGACCGCAGTGCCCAAGGGACAACTGCTTGAGGTCGGTTACACACGAACTTTTTGTGGGTAGGTTTTTTGTTAGCTCCGTTCTTCAAAGGACCTTACCGCCGGAGACGGATATCCGTGGGATAAGGCGAGGTGTGCATTTTTAGGGTCGACCTTTTCTAACCCCACCCCTCCTTGTGGGAAGGCAGCATCGCTGTCATGCTAGTTGTGTGAAGGAAACACCTTACTGCTTTCACACCTCTGTACAGTCGGCAGTACGACTTCGCCTTCGGACCTTGGGATTGCTGCTTTTAGTCTTACCGCTCTTCAACCGACCTGTCTGGCATGGTAGGACCTCGAGGAACGATTGTTTCAGCCAGCATAGCTCGATTGCTTCATCACGATAGGCAAGCCCGACCACCACGTCAAGGTAGCAGCAACGGTCGAGACGGAGTTGGAAAAAATGAGATAAGACTCATTGTATTGTGCCTCCCCACGGAAATCTTTAGCAAAAGGCGAAAGATTTATCCGCAAATGAGGAGACACCAGAGTTAGAGGAATCCCTTAACACTGACCAGTTAAGAGAAAAACACCACCAACATATTGGAAAAAGAGAAGGGCATAGTCATAATGCTAGCTAACAAATGACCCACAACAATGGTTATAAGCAAAGGGGATGATATTAAGAAGATTGGGACCTAATGAAAGGTAATGATGAGTACCGATTTTTAATAACAAATCCCACAAAAAGGTTAAACAGCTAAATAACAATACAGGATCGGTGGTGAATGAAGTTCAAGTGATCTATTCTTCTCTGACTCTACGGGAAACGGAAGCCACGTAAATTACCCCCCTCTTTTATAACCAACTGTATCACTGCTGACCTACAATTTATCTGCGAAAATCTACGATGTGCTAATGCGTCTAACTGAACTATGAGATTATTCTATAAACTCTACAATACAATCCTTAGTCAAGAACAAAAACCTTCAACTAACCAACGTCGAAATCATGATCCCTTCCGACGTTACAGTTTTATTCACTTCACTATCACAGTTGCTTAGAAATGAAGAGCGAAACAGACAAAATATAGTGACCGAGTTTAATAGAAATTATTGATTTGTACAACATATTGTCGATTCAGTGGATAGATTTACAAATAGACTAAAGGAACTCTTTTGGGTTAGGTCCGAGATGTGAGTAATACATATCTCGACTAAAAAAATTATAAAGGTTTATAAACTTGTCAATCGATTTACAATCTTAACTTAATACCATATCACTACATCACCATTATTCAGTTAATGTTTCCAGCATACGTAAAGAAAGGCTAGGAGATACCAAAGATCAAATGCCTATCACTTACAAAAGTCTTCTGGATTCATTGGGGTACAACTCATAATCATAAACGTTAGAGAACTAGCTTTACCAACTAAATGATCAGGTCCGATCAAGGTCGAAGATAAAAGTTACCGATGAGTGCCATTAAGCACTGGATGAATCTCATGGATATGTAAAATAGTTTTGTTTCATTGAAAATAATAATCAGTCAGTTGGTCGCTAGATCTGTGTTAATTATATTTATTTACACTTATTAGTATTTAACTATTTGGTCATTCTAATTTATTATTACTTGGATGCTTCCCGAGTAAAATAAGATTGATACCTTCACCGGGCGCTGAGGGAATAGTGGGGCTGCATCTCATGAACTAACATGAGTGGTCGGGAGAGATCAGCCTAAACCACTACTATGAAGTACTTTTGAACTACCCAATGTTATAATCATACGGAAAACACGAGAGCGTTTATGGATTCATGTGTATTTTATAAGATGGATATATTGATAAAACTTGTGCATTCCAGGAGTATACGTAATGTATATTTGCAAAAAAATAGAGAGGGGGGATCATTTATGTTATGGGTATGAAATGAAATCCATAGGTTTTGAACTTAATTATTTTGTGTGCATGTAGCGTGTACTTGACGAAAAATGCTGGTTTAGTTTCTAAAAAGGGAGTGGAGACCACTTTATTCACTTAATTATAGCATTTATGTTGATGTGTATACTATGGAATGTATGGGTCTCAAGCATACGTATTTCTCATAACCATATAGTATATACTTTTCAAAAGAGTGGCAACCATTTTGTCCTCTCAAACTGTAGCAAGCACTTTTTAAGAGTGAGTCGATAATATATACCATCCGAAATACAGCATTTATGGTTATGTGTCTTCTATGAAATGTATGAGTCTCAAAATTGTGACTCTCCTAGTCTGTAATTAATGTACACTTACTAAAAAGTGTAATGTCCATCTGGCTCTCAAAACAGTGGCAAATCTACACACAGTGTCACTTGGGGTTTCAATATAGAATAGTTCTCGATAGAAAATACATATTTTGCCCCGAGTATGTGTGACACTCGAGTAAATAGGACACGGTTCAGATAAGCCAATCGGCACTTCCAGAAGGCTGGAACGAGAAACTAACATTAAAATATTAGGTAATATATTCTAAGGATCTTAAAATTTATTATTAAAATGCAAAAATTGTGGTAATTGGTCTAACAAACATAGTCGAAGCGTTTGAATAAACAGTTTACATACCTAAAGAAGTATCCAAATTAAATCCACAATAACAAAATGGTTTATTAGCTCCAAGAGGTTTAACTATATAGGGGACAGGATAAACTGCAGTCGAATTGGTAGTATTAGTAGTACTGGTGGTAGTAGTAGTAACAGTAGCTGTTGTCGACATTGTATCATACTGAGCAATATCTTCAAACCTATCAACACAACTCGCAGACGGATCAAAATAAACAACTCCAATTACTCTAGATTGATTTGCTGAGAATTGAATTGGTTGAAATAAATAAGGTGAATCTGTGTCATTGCTAGTCTTGTTTCGTTTAATTTTATAAAATTGGATAAAATCAAGTGAAATCTCATTGTCAAAATTATCTGAAGACATGATAGGACGATGTAATTTTATGTCAGCAATATTGATCTCTGTAGGATACGCATTCTGGACAGTTATTTTATGCATGATAATTTTTCCCTAGTAGAAACAGAAAGGGAAACAAAAACGAACAAACAAAATCAGAATGATTGAGTGGATTTTGTAAAGGTTGGATTAATTTCAAGGTGGTATTCATTGTAGGTTGACTTAAAGTGAGGTATTATTGAAAAACAGAGAGCGCTAGATAGCTACTGGGTTCAAGTATGAGACTCCTCAGAAATGTGGACCTAAGATCACGCTAGGGAAACAGATGATCGGTGTTTCTTGATTTTAAGTGTTGCCGACTGAGGTGACAAATACCACCCCCAGACGAAACTAGTGCCAAACAGATTATGATGTGTTGAAAGAAAAAAGTCTCGAAAACATAGGGGTGAGTAGTATTAGATTAAAATCTTAAGCGATCCACCAGCTGGCTACTATCAAATGGCATAGGTTCATTTGTGTCTGTAAATGGATGATTTTGTATGAATATATGAAGAAGTAAATGAGTATTTGAATAGATGGTTATGGTAAATGAGTAGCCCAGTAAATAGTGTTACAATAGCTGAAGAAATAAATGTTTAGTACAAGTTATAATGGGGATATTGAGAGTGGTAATGAAGCACATTTCTCCCAGAAATCCCAAGCAGGTAAAATATTCTGTGTAGAATGCGTTGTCAGTTATTGTTATCACAAGATGAGATGGGTTTTATTATTGACAATAAGCAAGTTTAAAACATCAGAATTCAATTCATTTCAGTGTTGAGTTGCTGATACAAGAGTCTTTTACAGAGAAAAACATATGTCTTTCATGGTACAGTGTTCTATGTACTCATGAGGTTGTGATAGTATTGGTTCGTATAAAGTTTATCATTATTTCTTTTTTACTGATAAAAATTGAGGTTAATGTTATGCTAGATTAAACTGCACAAATTGTATCAAGAACAGTTTAATCTAGAGTAATTATTACTGATTAGTCTGTAGATGAGTAAGTTCAATGGGATTAAACATGAGAATTTCATTTGAACGATAGTGTTTATCAAAGATGAGGAATCTGTACCTCATATTAATCTACCTCTCAAACATAGATTTAACTTGTGTCGGATTTTTAGTCTTCAAACAGTGAATGTTACTATCAGACTGTTACTATCAGATCAAATTTCATCATGTATTATGATTCTAAATTTCGGCCAACTTTAAAAAATTTAAGGTTAACTAAACAATTTCTATTCGGCTAGTAACTCTTTCTTATGGGTAAGACAAACTAATCTTAAATTTTATACGACAGACAGTTTGCTTCCTCATACTCATTATATATTCGACCATTATAGTCAGTAAAGTGTTATGCCCAATAGTGTCAAGCGACCATTCAGTGTCATTTCGGCGTCCGATTACATACATATCTTAGTTACTAATGTCTATCTACTTATAAGTAGTTAATCATCTTTTTATTGCATTTCAAAAGCTAATTGTAAATGGACAGGTATGAATTAAATCACTAACGTTGAATGAATAAATGACTAGTCAATGGATAAAATATCACAAGGCATATAAATAATGATGCTTATTATACATAAAAAAAGTGCTTACAGGAAATAAACTATTTACAATCAGTGGATTGGGTATCACATTAATAAGGCCACGTGTTACAAAATATTCAAATTGTTGTTCTATTACCTGAAAATCAAGTTTGTAAAAAAGGAAGTAATTAAAGAGAGAATAGTCAGTAAACGAAATGTATTGTCAAATAAAATTATATTATAAAGAAACAATATATACTTATCTACAATTCTATCAGAAGATTGATTCAATGAGTTAAAACAGGACTAAACTATTGTAGAATGTGTATTATTAAATAGTGTTTTGTTAGTTGATTGAAGGCATCCGGTAGGAATGTCATCACATTGAGCTACTTAGAAAAGTGAATACATTGAAAATTGATCGACAGAATATGATCGACATCAAAGACTAGATAAATATAACATTGATAACTATTCAGTGGTCAATCAACCAATCAATAAAAAAGGTATTCTCCAAAACTGTTGATCATTATGGCAGTGTATAATCGACAATAGTAGGACACAATTATGATTTAACCATGAACAATATTGAAAGAATTGTAGTCTTAGAAAAATTAACAACACTTAGAAAATAATTAATACTCATCAAATAAGAAAGCGGTATTTTACACCATACAGTGATATAATAGAAAGCATTTTAGGAAGTGGAGTAATAAATACCAGTTTCAAGTCTTATCAAAAGTGCCAATACTTAATGTGATGTAGATATTTTTAAATGATGTATTCCTAATACGAAAGAATGGACATTGCAGATTACATCGCTTATTCATTGATAAAAATGGATATGCAGGTAAGAAGACGGACAGTCGATGAATAAATATAGTTAAAATATACAACAATACTGAAAAAAAACTGAATTAACGGTCTTAGTGTTTCAGTGAGAATGTTTAATTCAACATCAACTATAATGAACAAGAACAAATGCGAGAACAACCAAACCTCAGTAAAAACTGAGAACTATGCAGTAAATACTTCATCTGCAAAATGTCAATCAGTTGTCTCAGACTTGATTATTTCTTCGTTTCTACATCAATCATTCTGTTCTCGTTCTCTTTTTTCTTCGATCTTTCTAACCTTCTGCCATCAGATATTTCACCTGCGATCGATTATACATATTACTTATATTTATCGACATCAGCAGCACACACCACACAACTAATGATCACCAAATAAATAAATTTTCTTTGATGAAAGAAGGTTTTAAATTGATAAAAGAGTCATTTCTCCTCATGAAAGAGTAAAAGCAAGTTTGGGCAAACGTTAAAAGTAACAAGATCTTTATTTGTTCTGACGTAATCTGTGTTAGGAACGAAAATTGAAGGAAATTAATTTCCTTGTCCTGTTTGGAAAAAAACACTCTCAAACTAATAATTTTGTTAGTGATACATTCGATAATAAACACTCGTGTACCTTAAAAAAGCATTGAAATAAAGAAAAATGAATAAATGTATAGAAAGGCTTATAAGCGAGATAAGTTTGTTTAAGTCTGAATGAATTTTAGTATGTCAAAAATGTAATGAGTGATGAATAGAAAATCATGGAATGTACAACATTACCAAGGTCAATCTCTCAAGGTCAAACCAATCGATTAATTTTGTGTAAACGCTGTAAAAAGACAACACAAGCAATGAATTATGCGATAAATTAACTCTTTTTTTTAGAAAGAAGCTTTATTATGTGCTGAGAATTCTATGTTGTACTGAAAATATAATAGTGAATAAAGCTAACAAGAATAATGCCTTTGTTGAGAACAATTCTAAACAGGAAATACCGAACATTTTGACCAATTCCAATTTTATTCATCTACTATTCATCTATTAATAATAATAATAATAATATTAATAAAGTTTGCTTTGTTATATTATAGTCTTTTATGTGTTATCCAACTAACGTTATAGATAAGAAGTAATTTCTATCACAAGAGTTGATAGTTTTCAAGTATAATATAAGTAAAATACTTGAATATATACTGCGGTTAAATGAGAGGACTAACAATGAAATGCAAGAAGACAATGGGAACACATAATATATACTCAGCATAGTCTATTTGTTTATTACACGGAATGCATGTACGGGCACATAAACTCATATATATACATATATATATATATGCGATTACTGCAGAATTACAAAATTTCCATAACATCTCTTTTCCTCTCACTTTTTCACAGTGAATAGTTAGCATAGTAAAAAACAAAGAAACAAATAAACAGTGTGAATGTGTATGAATATGTCCGTTTTACTATTATTACTCGATAATGGTTCAATAGTGAGATTATGTTATAACACTTGATTTTTCTCGTCTATACGAATAGGACGCTCAGTCAGTCAGTCAGTTACAACGTAGAACTTCGTACGTACGTACATCAGTTCGAGTTGCCATACCACATTAGCACAGAGATGAAGTTGTCGATTCAAATCCCATATTGATAGAAGTAGTAAGAGTATAAGTATTATGTGAAAGATTAGGGTATGAAGATGTTATTGAAGGAGTATAATAGGACGCTAATTTGCCTTAAATGAATATGTACACTAGATACCCTCCCGGTGTCTTCAACACAACTCAGATCAACAACACATGACTAGCCTGACTAGGAAGTCAGTATATTTCCACACCAAAAATCAACAACAATCACATTAATAATAAGGGTAAGAATACATAACTCATTTAGTACCTGTCAGACTATCTACTAGTCTGACCAAACAAACAAACAATCATTATCTTCCTCGCCCACACATCAGAGTACATAATTCTTTGTCTAGTTAACTTATTTAGTCTTCTTTTTAAATTAAGTAAACATTAGAAGACAATGTGTTAAGAAGAATTAATCATAAAGTTGAATACTTGTAAAGATAATTTCATTGAGAATACTGGAGCAAGGTGTACAGGTATTTCGGGTAAAATTGCGATATACTACCAAAACATTAAAGAATGAGCAGACGTTTTGTAAAGTCATGGCGAATATTCAGAACATGACTTTTAGCGAAGACGAAATAAATGGTGTTGAAGATGAATTGACTGATACCAATCGAAGTTGTTGCAAAAAATTTCTTTGGTTTCTACAAATTCAGCTACACAATATCATGAGAACAGTAGGGGAATATGTCTAGCGAAACTATTAGGACACTCTGTTGTGGTTGAAGTGATAGTGAAAGTAGATGGGAATATAATACGCAAGTGAAAGTAAGCTAAAGGAAGATTGGGTAATTAGTTGCCTCATGCGATAACAATAGCTTTTGTGAAATCGGGATAGAAATTTGAAAAAGCAACACTTTGAAAAGATTGGCCATCTTACATTCGAAATTTTAGCAATATTGATCTAAAAATACGTCCAGTCTGGTACAAACATATAGATAGAAGACTGGTGGGTTTATTATTACCAGAATGTTGTTATTCGTATAAGTTGCCTCATGAACTGTTCTACGTGGGTGAACATAATAATGTTGAAGCTATGTACAGTTGTTTTAAGTATTAATTACGACCGTTCGCAGGTTCCTAAGGCAGGTTACCATTATAACGCCACTTAGACGAAATCCTGCGCCGAATATCTACTGACTTCACCACATAAAATCCTTTCGAAGACTTGAACAAATTTATTAATGATGTGAAATTGATATATCCGATGTAAAAGCTCTCTTTTTCTACAATAACTTATTCATTTTCCTTAGTTGCCTTTCGATTGGTTGAAGCGGTTTTAGATGTCAAGGTTGTTTAGCAACGCAGCTGAACTTTACCATAACTTTCTTTTTTTTAGGGGGGGCAGTCGTTATTACATTGTAAAAAAACGAAGAGAAAAATAATATTCTAATGTATCATCTGCATGAGTTCACTAAAATAAACATTTTAGATAAAAAAGAAATAAAGAACTCAAAATATAAAAATCACAGTGTAGTTATAAGTATAGAGCTGTGAAGATCGTTGAGTTCAATGTTAGGTCAACATTGCAAACCTGTAAGCACTGGACGACCGTTTTGTCGTAACATGAGACTCCTTAGCACTACACATGCACGACTTGAACTAAGGACCTACCATCTCGAGACTAATTAACAGCTTCTTTCATCCGATTGTTTATTTAAACAAGATAGTATTATTTAGCTAGTAATGCGTTCAATGTGATCAGGGAATGTGTACAGATAATTTGGAAGCTTAATGAGTAAATTGATAGAACCAACATAAATAAACTTATTTGATTTATTCTAAAAATTGTTGAATCGACCTTATTTTTATCACTGAATTTTTAGTATCACCCTAGATAAGATGACAGATGGTCTATTTCATCATTATTTAAATAGTTTACCCATTAGATATTGATAATATTTTATGGAAATTACTGAATTTCTATCGATTATGACCAACTCATTGAAACTTAATTAAATATTATGAATAAATTTAGATTGTAGAAAGTTTTAAACTTGAGTGGATAACGCGATGGCGTTTAAAGCAAAAGGTAATGGGTTCGAGTCCCAGAGTGAACATCAACTCTGAGATACAGGTACATCCAGCTGATGAGTCCCAAGTAGGGCGAAACGCATGTCCTGGATTTCACTGCTAGCCACTATCCATCTTTGCTTACAATCACTTTAATTTTTGAATTAGTTGTTTTTTAAACTTGTTTAATTCATTGGCTGATTGTTTGTTTATCGAATTAACACATTTTTTGTTAGAATATACCGGTGAAAATACAAGTTTTTTTTTTAAAATTTATTTATCAAGGTGTGATTCATGGTTTAATCCTTTCAGTTGTATTTCTTAAATAACAAAATTGAGGTTATTTTTTGTGTAGAAGTTGAGAAAAAGATTTATTCGCATTAGGTAAGAAGTATTTCAGCGGAGTTTGTATTTGGTTAGCTGAATTGTTTCTGTTCATTTATGTAACTTTTCCTTATCATTATTAACAGTAAAAATGTTGGAAATTAAAAAAAAAGAAACAATAAAATAATGTTAGTGAAAAAAGTTTGTACAAATAAGTTATACTACTTAAAAGAATGCAATATTCCTTGAGAGGTTTCAGAGGAAAAAGAGACATTTATATATACATATGTTCACATTAAATAAAAGTGTAATAGAGAAGTAATAAATATGAAAATGATGAATGAAAAGGGGAAAAAACTTACTGTATATTTTGTTTTAATTTGTATAAATCCTTTAATATGTTGAGTAACATTTTCATTACCCCATGAAAATGGGATATTAACTTCTGATAATGATTGGATTTCAGTCTGAGTGAAAATAAAAACTGATTTAATAATTATAACAATATAAAAAGGTTTAAGAAAACTACATATAAATTTCTACACTGTGTTTTCTTATCGATTTGTCTAGTATAATTATTTCGATTTTGATCTACTTATGAACTTGGAAGATGGATTTGCAAGGCGACCAATTTACAACTTTTAGATATGAATAAAAGGATCATTAACAACATGATAACTAGACATTTACAGGATCAGTTGAAGCGACTGACTGACCAATTAATTTATATCATCTAACAGCTACGAGACCTACATCACTTATTCATGTGGGATTTTCCAAAATTCCATATACTGAATATCTCACTCACTGTTTAGATTGTTCCTATGATATTGTCCTTACCATACAATGTAAAAAACAGGATCTAATTATACTGTTATTAGGCAAACAAAAAAGTGTTATCATAATTGAGATGAGTCACAGATAGCAGTGGACCCTGTAAGAAGTCCATAATGAGACATAATAAATAGATTGAAATTTCTAGAAATTCATCAATCATAAAACAACTCAGTATATGATATTTGATATATTGAACAACATGGAAGTCTTCTAGTAGCTAGATTGATTACATTCACCTTACAATACCACAAATTTATCAATTCAGTGAGATTGATTACATTAGAAGTGAGAGAAAGAATTTCACAGTATGTACCGAAACATATCTTTGAAAGAGAACTAAGTTTTTATCAATATGACTGAAGAAAATTTTATGAACACGTGATGTTCAACCGATATCTTTCGATCACTCGATATAATAAGGAGAACAAAACTGAGTCTAATGATTCTGACCCTCATTTTAGAAGAATTCGTAATTAAGTATTCACAGCATAAAGTATGTAAGTAGAAACATAGCGTGATTTAATTAGTCGTCGCCATGGCGACAATACATATAAATTTAATTCAAATGTACTGTTTGTTGTTAAGACTTTATAGTCTGCTAAATGAATAATTCTCAACTTAATTATTTATCAACTATCTTATGTGTTTGAAATAATTACTGATTTGACTAATAATTTCTAATAGTCATTTACCATCATTTTAACAACGATACTGTGGCGCTTTTCTGTTTTTAATAATTACTTCGTTGGTTTTGTAAGAATTTATATAATTTGAAAATCATAAGCTAGTCAATCAATGATAACCGAATGACACTATGCTACAAATGTCAGTCAACCCAAATTACTATGTCAACTCAGCACAAACAAATAACTTTAAAAAGATAAATGACCCAGGAGCCGAGAAAAGCAATACTAATGGGAAATACTAAACATTGAAAATACGATTCAAGAAGAAGTAATGGAAAGGTATGTATATGAAGGAACAATATAATTCGACATTTACAAGATGTAAAATTAGTGTTTCTGTGTCATTTTGACAGATTCCGAACCATATCATCCAACGTCTGCAACCACTAATCATGGCTATTGTGTAACCCCAACCAGGAGGTCTGAAACCAGCAACACAGCACAAACCAGCAGCCAATAATTTTAAAGACTGATGCCACGTCTTGATTTGCCCAACTCTAGATTTTTAATTCATAAACCAATTTCATCATGAAATGATATCAGCTGAAGAACTACTGAAAACTAGAGAGCATTGGGCAGCTGTTTTATTCTAGTTTAAGACTTTTCAGTAGAGCATATTCATAACCTCACTATAAAGAGGATGAAGCCAGGGATTTCGAGTTCAAAAATAAATACGATACCATCGAATTGAAGTCAAGCAGTATCCCTCATATTACCTCCAGTCAATTTATGATTTCAGGAAACCACTGTTCAACTTCATCAATATGAGTTACTAGCTCATTTCCAACATGTTTAGTTCATAGATATATTAACTTCAAACATAAAACTTCTAGATCCAAAACTAATGAGTGTGCATTGATTAAAATATTTAAATTATGGTAAAACAACCACTAATTATACTTGAATATATTTTTCAATCACTTCTCCAGCTTATGACAACTATTCTGATTATATTATTCTGCAATCGATTGATTGTCTTACCGGAAATTGATTCATGTTTCCAATACACAAAAATGCATGTTTTAAATTCATGACTAGCGAATTTATTCTTAACAAAATCATTCAAAGTTTTGTAGATATAAAAGATATTTAACATGAAACAATATTGAAAATTCATTTAAAATGTGAGTCAATTGAAGCTAGACCACCATCGAGAACCTGGAAGCACTGGATGACCATTTCGTCCTATTATGGGACTCCTCAGCGGTGCGCATCTACGATCCTGCACTCGCGGGATTCGAACCCAGGACCTACCAGTCTCGAGCCGAAGCCCTTAACCGATAGACCACTGATCCGGCATCCGTAATAGGGTGAAACGGCCGTCCAGTGCTACCAGGTTTTTGATGATGGTCTAGCTTCAATTGACTCATGATTTCAACTTTGAAAAATACTGAAATCTCCACAAATCCCCTTCTGATTATAATCATATGCTCACTAGTGACTGACTTCAAGATACATGTCCTGGAGTTCTAGTGGGAAGCAGTGGAAATCTCCACAAGTCCCCTTCTCATTTAAAACGATTGAAAGATTAGTATCTATTCAACATTATAATTTCTATTTCTCATATTTATTTGGAAACAATTTTCAAATGATCATCTTTAAATTTGATGACAATCATTCATATATTCACTGATACTTCAAATGTCAAATTCATGTTTAATGAATCATTCATTTCTGAAGTGGCATACATATTTTTAATTTAAGTGCTCAGATTTCAAACAACAGATCACAAGTTTCAAACCCTTATCATTCTTCAGTCTGAACAACTACATTGTTGTACTAGACTTTTAAACAAACAAACAATTCATTTAAACAATTTTGTTCCACTTTCAAAAGTACAACAAAATGACGTCGACCGAGAGGAAGTATTGCATTAATTTAGATTCGTCTTATCATAAATTAAATAAATGCATTGATCATACTAGAACAACACTGCAGAGACTATATAATACATGATTTTGCCATTTTGATTTATAATTTTGGTTTATAATTTATATTCACTTAGTTTATTTTAGAATTATCTGGAATTTATCTCCTTTAAAGTCGTTAAAAAGAAAGAAGAATAAATGACAACTATTGTATCGAAAGTTTCCATACCTAAAATTTCTCATACACTTCAGTCACACTGATTTGTCGAGCATACCAGTAATAAATGACTTCATCGAATGATGAAGCATAAGTGAATCAGATCCCCTGCAATTCACTCCTAACTCTATTCAAAAATATATTTAAAAACGAGTTGTGAAACAAACACAGGGACGTGTGTTAATCATCTTAGAAGGTGGACATACTGTTCCATTGAAAATGTATCTTTATTTCATTACAGTGAACAGAGATTGATTTTTATACAAAGGAATAGAATATAGATTATGATACTAAACAGCCAATTTGAACAGACAGAAACATTGAACAAGGCAAAAAAAATTATTAGACCAAACAGTAACATTTCAAATCGATTACTATTCAAACAAAATACAGACAAAACGATAACAACAAAAATAAAAGAATTTCAGTTGTTTTTTTTACTTACAAACTGAAAAAGACAATTTTCACATGGACCTGAAAGTTGGCAACCTTCATGCTTGTGTTTCATAATCTCACACTTGGCATTATTATCCGACTCTGTATATATATTAACTGACGTTAATTCAACCTGAAAAAAACACATCATAAACAAACAGAAAGACTCAGATAATTTCAGATACAATTAGTATGTATTCATAAAAAATTAAAAGAAAGACCATACATCAACAATTCAGCCATGAAGTCAACAAAAACCTATTCAGATTTAATGAGAAAAGCTATAGAATAGTTGGTGCCAAACACGTTAAGCTTATAGTAAGTATGTTGAGAAGAGGTGTGTGAAGATCAGTTCAGTTTGAGAAAAGTGTTTGTCATGGACTGATATCAACTGGAGAACTATCGAAAAGATCGACAAACACAAGGCAATAATGATGTGCACCGATAACTCCGAAAGGGATTGAACCCAAAACTCCTCCTGAACTAAAACACAATAGCTATGAACCATCGAGTTGAAATAATACTGTACACTTTCGAAATTTATATCGAAAACTATATGTATGTTTATAGATCCGCGAACGACAATAGCAGTGACAAAAAATCGATATGTCGCATACCTAATAAATAGTTCATTTGTTGGTAGATTTTTTTAAAAATTTACCATCTTATCAATATATTTCTTTTCGTCAACAACCAAAGCATATCTCAGGTATGAAGCATAATTCTTTATCATAAATACAAAGTAAATGTACATGAAAGTGTTTACAAATTTTTAGCTTATCAAAGCAAATATCACGTTTTAGGTCATTAGACAAAATATTTTAAGATTGACGGGTTGATTTTAAAGTATCAGACTCGTATCGAGATTTAACTATTTATACAAAGAAATTTAAGGAGGTGTATGACCCATATATTCCTACAAGTCAATCAAATATTTATCTTTTTTAGATTATACACCTTGACTCAAAGGCATGTGATTTGAATATCACCAAAAGTATCTTAACTGAAAACTGAATAAGAATTTTTATCTATCAAGTCATAAACATAACGAGTAGACTAATTAAACAATAATGTAATTGAATCACAGTAATTCATGAAAACGTTTACAAAACTGTGCTGAGAAACGTATGGTTGAAGAAGGACTCATTCGACTGAGCAGGAGGAAAACAGAAGAAATATTAAATTAATAAAAAAACCAACTTTTTACAGACTCGGAAATAAACAGAATGGTATTATTTTTGCTTGGTCTTTAATAGTAGGATGGTAGATTTTGTGTAAGAAAAAAAGATTATATACGACTTTTTTTAAACCACTTCATCAAATGGTACGAGTCAAAGTAACTTGCATTACTAAACCACATAATAACGGTTTATTGGTTTACTGTACATAGCTTTATTTGATTGAAAGAACGACTGATCAGCGTTTCACGCTTTCTATAGTAGATTGTCAATTGATATCAGTTTGTGAGATCTTAAATGTGGGAAAAATTGTACCATGGAACTGATTTTCTCCTTGTGCTCACTTGTAATTGACATCAAGATGTGTTCCCGACATTCTAGTGGAAAGCTGCAATGAACTTTACCCAACCAGATCTCGAATAAGATAGTCATCATTGGAGTTATTGCGCAATAGTCGCGACATATTTACGACTAACTAAAATTAGGAATGTAGACGACCAGGCTCTAACTTGGTGAACTAAGATGCAACAGGCTCACCGTAGGACTTAGATTTGTTGGACGCGATACCTGGTGGGGTTATGGATGTAAACCACTCACTGATAAAATATATACCAGAATAAAAACGGTTTTCCACTGTTGAATGTGGAATATCTTTGCAGTTACTGTTACGTCTGCTTCCAGTGCTTCTGCTGGAATGTTATCTGTTCCCGCTGCTTTGCCGCTCTTGATTTATCTGATGGCCATGCTAATCTCATCAATTGTTGAAGGGCCAACATTGCTTGGGAGGTTCGTGGGTGCTGCTTCGATGTTAGGTGGGTTAAATGGAGCTGTTCAATTAAAAAGTTCCCTAAAGTGCGCTACCCACCTGTTTCGCTGTTCTCCAATATTGAGTTTCAGTTTTATCTTGGCTATCAGAAAGTGATGATCTGAGGCCATATCAGTTACTCTCTTTGTTCTCACGTCCTTCCGAACTTTTTATTGATGCAGATTTTGTCGATTTGGTTCTGTTTAGTGTGAGATCTGGTGAAGTCTGTGTGGCTTTGTGCATACGTTTGTGTGTGAATAAAGTACCGCCAGTTTGTTGAAGACACACAGGTTGTAAATCTCTAACCATTTTCGTTCCTTTCTCACAGTCCATGTCGTCCCATGATGTCTTTATATCCGGTGTTGCCCATTCCAACCTTGGCATTTAGGTCTCACATCAGAATAGTCAAGTCCTTTGTTAGGCGTTTCTCGACGATTGACTGCAGCCTATCGTAGAGTTGATCTTTAACGTCTTCGTTGTAATCATTGGTAGATGCATAGCATTGGATGACGTTCATTGTAATGCCCTCTTTCTTTGTTTTGAAGGAGGCTTTGATGATCCTGGGTCCATGGGATCTTTATTGACTGCAGTGATTAGAATATATATGACGTATGATACTGTGGTTAGACGTAGTCGGCAGAGAACCATGGAAATAGGATTCGTGATATTTGGACTTGGCACACATGGCATTAGCCATCACTCAGTGATCAGTCGATCGAAAATGTATTACGTATTCTGAAACATCGCCTGCCACGAGGTGCGATTTCGGATGGTGCACGAGTAGATTGAAGGAAAAGTAGAGGCGGAGGAACCAAAATGTAACATTGGTACACGACGTCCTTGGTAGCTTAACTGAGTTTTGCTGGTAGACTTAGACATGGTTAGGGTTCGCGCGTTGGGTGAAATGATTAACAAGCGATTGAAATAGAGTGGATGTACTCACTCTATCTTATGTCGGATTCAGAGTCTCCAAGTCTTCATTTATTTTCTTCCTTAAATATCTAATCTTTTCTACAATTTCAGGTTCTAGATTCCCTATAACTGAGTGAATCAAAACCCGTCTGATGGTGTAGGTGATTTTAATGAAGAAGGCATCTGAAAAAATAATTCTCATCTTATTCCAAAAATACGGGCATTATGCTGATGGCTAGAAATCGATCAAGTGATTGAAGTCTAAATATTTTAGAGTTTCGCAAATATTATTTTCAACATCAGAGTTAACGGAAATGAAACAGTTTTCGGTAAATGAGAGTATGATTTGTAAAGATTTGATCTACCATAAAAACCAAATTAAAACAGGTTCATCAAATTGAATTATGGATAGCTTTGTTCTGTTATACGTCCTACTTAGATAACACTCGTTAAGGTTCCAACAAATTACCTGTCATATTGTTTTCAATTGAATTTGCATAAGTTGATGAATATATGCTACTGATTGAGAGTAGCTAATCAGCCTTTGATAATGTAGTCATACTTACCCACAATTACTGTTCGTTCGATCAATATCAGTTTGAACCATAATATTGAGTTTATTTATAACCTTATGGCACTTTTTTCAAGTAGACATGTTTTTTTCCTTTTAATACATCTCCTTTATACTAAAAGCTGTATCATTTCTGACAATGAAGTAACTACAAACATGCTTCAAGTTCTATTCAATAAGATTTGGGAGGAAGAACATGTGCCATAGACAGACTGGAAAGAAGGATACCTCATCAAGTTACCAAAGAAAGGAAATCTGAGCCAATGTGAGAACTACAGAGGCATCACGCTGTTGGCAGCACCAGGAAAAGTTTACAACAGGGTGTTGCTGAACTGGATGAAAGACGCAGTAGACGCTCAGCTTCGAGATCAACAGGCTGGATTGTGTAAGGATCGGTTGTGCACAGACCAAATTGTGACACTACGGATCATCGTGGAACAATCAGTTGAGTGGAACTTGTCACTATACATCAAATTCCTTGACTATGAGAAGGCATTTGACAGTGTGGATAGGAGAAGCACGTGAAACCTTCTTTGACATTATGATGTAACTGAGATTTAGACTTCGCAGATCACCTGACCCCCCTATCTCATACACACGAACAAATGCAGACGAAGAAAACTAATGAAACAGCAGCCTCTGCATCAATGGGCCTCAATATACACAAAGGAAAAATTAAGATCCTCAAATACAACACGAAGAACACTAACCTAATCACACTTGATGGCAAAACCCTGGAACAGGTGGATGGTCGGCAATATCATCGGTGAACAAGGAGGATCTGATGCAGACGTAAAAGCGAGGATTGACAAAGCAAGGATAGCATCCCTGGAGTTGAAGAGCATATGTAACTCAAAACAACTGTCCGCAAGCCATTATTAAGGTGAGAATCTTCGATACGAATATCAAAAGAGTTCTACTGTGTGGAGCTGAAACTTGAAAAACTACCACAACCATCATCAAAATAGTACAAGTATTTGTAAACAGATGTCTACTCAAGATACTCAATATCCGTTAGCTGGATACCATCAACAACAGCCTACTGTGGGAGACAATAAATCAACTTTCATTTGGAGAGGAAACACGCTAACGGTGGATAGGACTTAAATTACGAAAAAGAGAAAATTAGGAAAAGACATTAAAAGTGGATAGGACATACATCACGAGGCAATCCCTAACTTGGAATGGTGAAGGGAAGCGGAAAAGAGAAAGGCTAAAGAACACATTACGCAAGGAAATAGAAGCAGATATGATAAGGATGAATGTTAACTGGAAAGAACTAAAAAGGATTATTGGGGACAAGGTTGGATGGAGAATGCTAGTGGGCGTCCTATGCTCATCTACGAGGGGTAACAAGTGTAAGTAAAGATGATAGCTTTTTCCATCTGTTTCCAATCCACAGAGTAAAACATCATGAGAAGATAAATATTGTTATCGTAACAATGTATCAATTAAACATCAACAAGAGTGTACAGTAATAATAATGATAATATCAACAATAAGAATAAGAATAATAATAATGATAATAATAGTAATAAAACTAGTTTACCGGTACAGGATTTAGATTGACAATCGTAATAGATTGATTACGTATCTGACCAATTAATGTTGTACCCAATAAATAAACATCTTGCAATTGTCGTGCACCATCAATGGAAAACTATATGCACATTGGTATTAAGATTGTTGTTTAAAAGAAGAAAAAATGAATAATGTTAGTTAAAATGTTTGTAAAGAATTATATGCATAAAACAATTTCAGTTAAATAATGTTTATGCATAAAAATCAGAACACCAAGTTAATCGGTCAATATTGAACAGATTTCATTAGAACCTAATGTTATGTAAGTTTACATAAAATTATTTATTTTTACTTGTAATCCTGTAACATACTTGATGCATTTGAAGTGATCAACTACAAACACCACGACGTTTTCGATTCACCGACATTATACACATAAGTTTTACCATTAACAGGAAATAATAAGTTGAAAGTGAGTTTAAGTGAATGTTATTATTTATACATATTATTCATGATCTCAAATACATGGAGTGCCTATTCACAATTGTTTTATTTTCAACTATTAGATAAAAATGATAAAATAGTATAAATATTTCATGAAAAATTCATATACTACTTACTACAGATGAATATGATCACCTGAAGTTTCACAATTTATTGCGTTGTTAATTTGAATAATGCAGATTATATATATATATATATATATATATATATATATATATATATATATATATAAACCTATACATATAAATGTCTTCAACTTTACACCATCTACTAGTGAGAACAAATTTTAGCCCATCGGCAGTATAGGTTTTTTAACCGTTTAACTGTTATCTTGTCGGTTTTGTTGCTTTCATAAAATTAGAAAGGTATAAAACATATTGTGAAGCGGCATTCTATGTAATATCGTGTTTACAGCAAGATTAGTCATTTATGCCTTGTTTAGTAATAATAATAGCAACGGTGATTGTAAATAAGTCACACTATCGTAACATCTATTCATAAAGTAGTTACATGAAAGATTTCACACACTTCAATGGATAACCAAAACTCAAATCTTCGACAATCCGTTAATATATATATATATATATATATATATATATATATATATATATATATATATATATGTATATAATAAATATTCCGTCAAAAAATGACATACAATTATGAGCGGCATCTTTTTGCAATGATAATAATAATAGTAAATATATACTTTTTCCTGTGTTAGAAAAAACCCACGTCAATTCTTTAGTGTTATGCCATGCTAGTGAATATTAACATTGAATAAGCCGAATAATAATAAATCTATATTCAGATGTAATCAGTAAATTGATGAGCAAAGAAATATGTTTTATCAAGAGCTCGTCATTATTAACGGTATTAATCAATAAATCTTATTGAAACAGTGTGGTCACTGTCAAGAAAATAATGACCTGAGTTGATTTTTTCATCATAATCACCAATCTATTCGTCTATATATGTAAAGTAGGTGTTTGTACTGATTAGGAATAGAATAAATATAAATACCTAAGGATAATAGTCATCTCGATAACTTCACATTCATGTAAGGAAATAGTGGAAAATAGTATTATTATATCCTGTTTCTACATTCATTCTCCATGCATTGTAAATTGATTCATGTTAGAACTATAAAACTTATAATAACAAAATTATGCTACAGAATGAATCGATGAAATTACTAATTGTCAGCTTAAACAATATGAGACTTTATCTACTTGCTTCCAGCGTCAATCGTTATAATAAGATGAAAAACATAGTGCTTGTCGCTTCAAAGACTAATGCGCTATCTCAATAAGCTATTGATTTAATGGAAATACCAAGGTAATCCAACCAGGATGTAAATATAAGAACAGAGACTGATAAATTATAGTCTTAAACATCAACAAAAGGAAGATAAAAAACTTTAAAAATAATTTTATAGCCACTGAACAAATTACTGGCTATCTGGACTCATTAGCTTAGCTAGCAGTTTATTGGTGTTTGAAGCAAAAGGTATAGGATTAAGATCTTAATGTGAACATCGGCAACAGAATCGAGGCACATTCATTTGACAAATTCTAAATAGGACAAAATTGTTGTACTGGGTTTCATAATCAAACTTTATTAAGAAGTAAAAGTTTAGATGAAATGTGTAATTGTGTAAATGACCATATTATTAATGATATTCTTCATTTACTGAATAAAACCAAACCCATTCTAATTTTGATTGTACTAAAAATGTTTTGCTTTATTTCCTTCGTACTATTGAAACTTGTGTTAATTTAATTTGGTTATTTATTCTCTGAAGAAAAAACTTATACTAGGTCGATAAATGTCAGAAATTCAATTTTCTACTCATTAGGATTATCTAACTACATTATTATTTCTATCGTTAACAATCTATTCAATGCTCAATTTATTTGAATTTTTCATAGTTAAAATCATGAGTCAATTGAAGCTAAACCATCATGGAAAACCTGGAAGCACCAAACGGCCGTTTCGCAGGGTCGTGGATGCGCACTGCTGAGGAGTCCCACAATAGGACGAAACGGCCGTCTAGTGCTTCCAGGTTTTCCATGGTGGTTTAGCTTCAATTGACTCATGGTTTCAACAATAAGAAATACTGAAATCTCCACAAAACCCCTTCTGATTTATTTGAATTTATCAAATCAAATGTTGGTTATGATATTTACAAACTATACTATTTGATGTACTTTATTCACTTTCAATTGTATTTAATTTTTCACTAATGTGTAAATAAATAAACATTTCATTTCAATGTGAAAATATGAAGAGTGTAAGTTGAATAAACAAATACTTATAACAAAATTTCACATTATTTGCGTATTTTTCGCGGGAAGTGCGTGGGGGGCGTAAAAAATAAACTGAAAGAAAATAAGATTGATATTCATTATTCAGATAACTTATATCATTATATTCTATAAAATGAGATTCATTTTCCCAAGTGAACATATGATACAAGTTGAAACTTTCCTATAATGATCTCATATGTTTTCATGTTAATAAAATCAAAATAAACATGATCATCAACTTCTCTTAAGTATATATAATGCAATACAAGAATAAGAGAATTTAAAACCCTGGGAAAAATCTGAAAAAATAGTTATGGACAAGAGATTGTTTTCTTTTCACTGACTACATTAAAGAAATAGTTTGTTGAGAAAAAATGAAAGTGGTGAAAAGAACACTAACATCATCAACAATAGAGAAATTTTTGAAAATTGGGATCAAAAACTGATCAATATTAGACTGTCACTGAAAGCTTGGAAGCACTGAACGGCCGTTTCGTTATAGTATGGGACTCCTCGGCAGTGCGTGTCCACGATCCCGCACGCGGGACTCGAACGAAACGGCCGTCCAGTGCTTCCAAATTTTCAGTGATGGTCTAACATTGACCAGTTCACGATCTTAAATAAATCTTAATTAAATAAACTCAACAGTCTCCACAATCATATGCTGACAGACATTCATTAAATTTGGTATTATAAATTGATTGCTTTAGAATATATTGGGAAAATGTCAATCCAAGGAATTCTTAGTAATAAATGATCCTGTTTAATTAAACACGTGGGCAATATAACGGAATTTTCATAATTCAAGAAAATAAACAGTGATATCATTTTATCATAAATTCGTTGTTGAAAAAAGATATCTCTTTCATATGTAATCAATATATAGTTAGTGTGAATAGTATGACTGAGATGAATACAGCTTGTCTAGAAGTGAGCTGGAAATACTATCCGATTGAGGCTATATATATATATATACCTACTGACTAAAAAGCATTTAAAACAAGTAGAATAATACATCAACCGGAAAACAACTGATGACCAAGGAGCATTAGATATCCGTTTCGTCCTATTCTTCAACTCCTTAGAAGTGTGCACTTCCAACCCTACCAAGGATCAAACAATAAATTATGATCTAAGAACATTGAATGATCATCTCTTTATTCAGCAAAATTACTAAATTAGATGATATGGGCAATGGAATTCCGACTCAAGAAATTAAAGGTAACGTGTTTACTACGAGAACTGGAAGTATTAAATCTAAACTTTGGTGAGATTATAAGTGGACACTTTTGAGGATTTCCAGACTTTGATAAAAGAGATGTCTATTGCGTTCAAGTTTTCAACCTAACATTAGTTCGTTATAGAAACTATCTCTTAAATCAAACTACCTACCATCACCAAAGTCTTACTTTCATCACTTACATTTTAAAGCATCAGGACGAGAGAAAATTATGGAGTTTGAGATGGGAAAAGATAAAACCTTGGATAAAATTACAAGGTTTAAAATTTTTAGAACACCAGATTATATATATATATATATATATATATATATATATATATATATATATATAGCCGAGAATAATCAAGGATTTGAATATGTTCACCAGTACATGTTTACAAACTCACCTTCTAACTTTTGTTTTAAGCAAACAGATAACAGTTTATGACGGAACTGGGAATACAATAATTAGAAACCACATTACTAGTATATTGCTGTACAGAATTTACATTTCGTTATTTAATTGTAATTAATATATCTTACAGTTGTCAAGTCAATAGAAACTGCTTCATTCAATTTTTCCAACAAACTGATATAACGTTACATTGCATGATCTTAATCTGAATCAGTAATCACTTCATTGATAACTATGAAATTTTCAATGCTAATTTTCTCCATAACTATTAATTGTAGTACAGAACTGGCAACTAAATTACTTATTGTATATAACACATGAAAGTTTTTTTTAGTTATTTCATTAACATAAATAAATGATAATTTATTTACACTTATGACTGATTAAATTTATTTTTATATTCTTAAAATAATGTCACCATTTTCAATAAATTTAACTATTCATAAGTTAAAATCTGACATGTATACGTATATAAAGATAATACTATGAATATAAAACTATGTATTAAAGTATACAATTTTAAATAGGTCTGATTTGGCAATGATTATAGAAGTGAAACATACAGAAGAAAACAAAAGAAAATGTTTTTTTTTTAAAAATATAAACGACAATAGTGTGATTGATTATACAGATAATTTATAGAGACTAGTTTAATTTGAAAATATTTGTGATTAGATAAATCTCAACAAAGT